GCATGTATCAAACACTACTGCCACGTATCAAACACTGCCATGTATCAAACACTGGCATGTATCAAACACTGGCATGTATCAAACACTGGCATGTATCAAACACTGCCATGCATCAAACACTGCCATGTATCAAACACTGCCATGCATCAAACACTGCCATGTATCAAACACTGCCATTTATCAAACACTGCCATGTATCAAACACTGCCATGCATCAAACACTGCCATGTATCAAACACTGCCATGTATCAAACACTGCCATGTATCAAACACTGCCATGCATCAAACACTGCCACGTATCAAACACTGTCATGCATCAAACACTGCCATGTATCAAACACTGCCATGTATCAAACACTGCCATGCATCAAACACTGCCATGCATCAAACACTGCCATGCATCAAACACTGCCATGCATCAAACACTGCCATGTATCAAACACTGCCATGTATCAAACACTGCCATGCATCAAACACTGCCATGGATCAAACACTGCCATGCATCAAACACTGGCGTGTATCAAACACTGGCATGTATCAAACACTGCCATGCATCAAACACTGCCATGCATCAAACACTGCCATGCATCAAACACTGCCATGTATCAAACACTGCCATGTATCAAACACTGCCATGTATCAAACACTGGCATGTATCAAACACTGCCATTTATCAAACACTGCCATGTATCAAACACTGCCATGCATCAAACACTGGCATGTATCAAACACTGCCATGCATCAAACACTGGCATGTATCAAACACTGCCATGTATCAAACACTGCCACGTATCAAACACTGCCATGCATCAAACACTGCCACGTATCAAACACTGCCATGTATCAAACACTGCCATGCATCAAACACTGCCATGCATCAAATACTGCCATGCATCAAACACTGGCGCGTATCAAACACTGGCATGTATCAAACACTGCCATGCATCACACACTGCCATGCATCAAACACTGGCATGTATCAAACACTGCCATGCATCAAACACTGCCATGCATCAAACACTGCCATGCATCAAACACTGCCATGCATCAAACACTGCCATGTATCAAACACTACTGCCACGTATCAAACACTGCCATGTATCAAACACTGCCATGTATCAAACACTGCCATGTATCAAACACTGCCATGTATCAAACACTGCCATGTATCAAACACTGCCACGTATCAAACACTGCCACGTATCAAACACTGCCATGCATCAAACACTGCCATGCATCAAACACTGCCATGCATCAAACACTGCCACGTATCAAACACTGGTACTCTGCATATATTGAAAGTTTTTGCCAATGAAAGCCTTTAAAACGCATGAAAATTTTCATTGTGTTCCAGTATACCATAGAAATATGTGAAAAAATAATCTCCAAATACTGAATCAGCAAACTTTTTTAAACTTTTGGCCACGGCTCTATATGAGTAGTTCGAGAGTTTAGTCTGGTTCGACTACTTCCTGGGAATTCAGAGATGTCTTTTTCCATGTTAGTGGGGTAGTGTAGAGCAGTGATTCCCAAACTTTGGTCCGGTACTGCAGGGTACTGCAGGTGGTCCGTGGAAAGGCAAAATAAAATATAAAAGAATATTTTTTTTTACCTTCATTTTACCAGGAAATTCCCATAAATAAATAAAAAGTAAAAAGAAAATGTAGGCCTATATTGATATAAAATTTTAATTAAATTGTCAAGTTATTGTGCTTATTAAAATGAGCTAGTGGCGCTCGGCCGTGACGTTCAAGTTCGGTGCCGTTAGAACCACAATATGGATCGGTGGATAGAAACAGGTTCTCTGAAGAGAAAAGAGGCACCCAATAAAGAGATTCACAGTGAGTCGGAGGCATCTACGAGCCAGATTCCTCATAAAAAAACTAAGAAAAGGAGGGAGAAGAGAAAATACGACGAAAGCTACTTAGCATTAGGTTTCAGCTACACAGGCCCCGAAGACGAGCCGTTGCCCGTTTGCATTTGTTGCTACGAGGCACTGGCTAACGAGAGCATGAAGCCATCAAATCTTTGCCGGCATCTGGAAACCAAGCATGGGGAATTTAAGTCCAAGCCAGTCGAGTTTTTCAAAAGCAAGCTCCAGGAATACCGCACAAGCAAAAAAGTTATAGAATCGACATCTGCAGGTGGTGCTATTGCTAAAGCAGTGGAAGTCTCTTACCGGGTGTCCCGAATCATGGTGAAAAAAGGGATGCCACATACACTCGGGGAGGAGGTGGTGCTACCAGCAATTAAAAAGACTGTGGGTATCATGCTGGGTGACAAAGCACGACAGTTAATGGACTTTATTCCATTATCAGACAACACTGTGCAGCGCAGAATCGAGGAGATGGCCAGCAATGTGAACGACCAGCTAATATCGCGGATCAAAACCAGTCGATATTTTGCTCTTCAGCTGGACGAATCCACTGACATAGCGAACCTCGCCAACCTGCTCGCCTACGTAAGGTATGAATACAACGGAGAAATAGAGGAGGAATTTCTCTTTTGTAAACCTTTGCAGACACGCACAACCGCAGAGGCACTTTTTGACATGTTGAACGGTTTCATCACAGAACATGGGATTGATTGGTCAAGATGCGTGGGAATAAGCACAGACGGGGCAGCAGCCATGGTAGGCCAACACACCGGCCTTGTTAAACGTGTGCAAGCAGTTGCTCCGCAAGCGAAATCTATCCACTGCTGCATCCACAGAGAGGCTCTCGCAGCCAAAAGAATGCCACCTGATCTCAAAACTGTTCTGGATGAAGCAGTAAAAACTGTCAATTTTATCAAGGCCCGCCCACTGAATTCAAGACTGTTTTCAGTTTTATGCGACGAGATGGGCAGTGAGCACCGACAATTGCTGCTCCATACCGAGGTCCGGTGGCTGTCAAGAGGGAAGGTGCTTGCACGGCTTTACGAGTTGCGAGATGAGGTGAGACTGTTTCTACTTGACTCCAAGTTCGACCTTTCTGGTCGATTCAATGATGCAGACTGGCTTGCCAAGTTGGCAAATCTGTCTGACATTTTTGAGCACTTGAATGGACTAAATAGGAGCCTACAGGGGAAGTCGGTTACTCTTTTTCATACGCAAGACAAAGTTGAAGCCGCAATTAAGAAGATGGGGATGTGGGCCAGGTGCGTGGAGGAGGCAAACTATGACTCATTTCCAAATCTTTGTGATTTTTTAGACAGCTCAGACACGCACCTTTTAAGTGCTGTGCAAGATGATATCAGACAGCACCTGCACCTGCTGAAAACTCCGCTACGGATTTACTTCCCAACCCCCGACACAACAGCGAATTGGATAAGAAATCCGTTTGCCACACTGGATGACTACATCCTGACAAACCTCACCTCCAGAGAGCAAGACAGCCTGGCCGAACTGTCCTGTGACAGTGCTTTAAAAATGGACTTTTCTGAGAAATGCCTGCCTGCTTTTTGGCTGAAAGTTGCCACAGAATACCCCGAGCTGTCCGACAAAGCCCTGAAGTGGCTTGTGCCTTTTCCAACAACTTACCTCTGTGAATCAGGATTTTCATCCCTGGTCATGTTTAAGTCAAAATATCGGAACAGACTTAATATTGAACCAGATCTCAGATTGAGGCTGTCATCACTGGAACCTGACATCCAGAAATTAACGTCTGCAAAGCAACATCATCCATCTCATTAGGTGAGCCAACACGATCTCATTAAAATGCGTATCTATACCACGAATTTAATTTCACGTACCATTTATACGCTACAAATATTTTTTGCGTGCATATGCTACGCACTGGAAACCCCTTGGGTAGGATTAGGGGTTTGGAGTGCGTGCGTATTACACGCCATAAAGTGCGTATCATATGCACGCAAAAACTATTTTTAGCATATAAATGGCACGAGAAATTAAATTCGTGGTATAGATACGCAGTTTCATGAGACCGAGCTGGTGAGCATTTATTTAGTTGTTTGTTTGTTTGTTTGTTTGTTTTTAATATAGGCCTATATTAGACAGACAGACGATAAAAAGAGGAAGGGAAAGATGTGGAGGGGGACAAAGGGGGATATTAGCCTACGTTCATATCGGGCTAGCAAATAGACTCCAATGGCTTATCCTTTTGACAACTTTTATTTTTAAGCTGGAGTAGGCCTACTGTGTTTTCATTAAATGTGTATTTTGTAAAAAAAAAAAAAATGTGTGTGCAGTAAACGTTCTTTTAACAAGCCTGTTGTACTGATGTGATGACCAGTTATAGTTTTAGTGCTAGTAAGCCTATTTAGAGGTGCGGATTAATTCAGGTAGGACTGTGTGTAGACATATTTTATTATGTGTATTATGAGGTGGTCCGCGAAAATTCTTGATTAGAAATAGTGGTCCACACACACAACAAGTTTGAAAACCCCTGGTGTAGAGAATAATATTCTGGTCTTATGTTGTGCTATTATACAAATCAAATAAAGTAACAGTTAAAACGGTTGATAATTGAATCAGAGCAGTAAAAAACGTTTATATACAACAATAATTTCTAACAGTAATCTTCATAAGCTTTGTTGGGGAGCTCTGTAATGCTCATTGATCATCATCAATGATCAGAATGCCCATGCACATACAGACATGGATGACCTTTGGGCAGTTCAACCGGGACTAAACCCCAAACCACTGAACCAGCACCAGCCTGGTTGGTGAGTCAGCCAGCCACTGAACCAGCACCAGCACCAGTCCCCGGCATGAGAATCAGCACCATTTTGGTTAGTCCGAACATGTAATACTTTCTGACATTTAAATCAGTGGCAAAAAGTATTGCAGCTGCTTATTTGGCATTTCGATTGGGAGATATTTTTTTCACAGTCCTAAAATTTACCAAGGACCCCATGTCTATTTTAGACAGTGCAACGCTGCTCTACGGAGTAAATCATTTGAAATTACACACATGCTTCCTGCCTTTTTCATTTTTGCACTCTTGCAGTTTTTAAATTAATTTGATGTTTTTTCTTTGCTCTCTTTGTGTGTTTTCCAGTCTGAGGTGTCTTGGATCCCTAACAAGCATTATTCTGGCATCTATGGCCTGATGAAGCTGGTGCTGACCAAGACGCTGCCCTCCGACCTAGAGAAGGTCATCGTCCTGGATACTGACATCACCTTTGCCACAGACATCGCTGAGCTGTGGGTCGTCTTCCACAAGTTCAAAGGTACTTTTGAATAATATTTCATTGAAATGATAGCTGTTTTTGTGTCGATTGCACTTTACAAATTTATTTTAATGAAATAATGCAAGTTTTGTGGCTGGTGAGCTTTCAGACGACTGTACATTAGTGATGGGCGCTTTCGAAACACTGCTTCATAAAGCTTTGAAACAATTACGAATCTTTTGTTTTGAATCACTGGTTTGGAGCTTGTATCAAATACCCCCCTTTGAGCCCCTTTAACTGCATTATTTGATCTCATGCCTGAAGTGTTTTTAACAGTTACTCGTATGCACTGTACTCACATCACCAGCCAAATCTGGGTGAGCAACCTGATTGGCCTTCGACATGAAACCCTGTTGCTTAGAAACAACGACACACTCTTGTTGAATATGTTTGATTATTGTGTCTTGAAGAACAGATGAAAGGAAAGCTAGAGAAGTGCATGTCGTATTGACCGTTTGTTAGGATCTTCAGTACCCGTCTGTTACTCCACACACAAATGTGATTTAATGTCAATTAAATCAGTGATGTGACACTCATTTATTTATTTTGTCCTATATGCTAATTCACACCACACACTTTTGGGGGGATTTTTTTCATTTCTGTATTGAAATTCATGTTCATGTTTTTAGGGGGCATAAAGTCAGAAATGTCTGGGTGATACAGCTGTTCTGATATCACAGTGAAGAGAAAAACCTGAAAAAAAAGATTGAAATTCTTGAAAAGAAAAACTTAAGAAGCTGCGTAATTAAAAAAATGTTCTGCTTATTAATATTTGGAAAAAGTCAAAAAGTGCATCCAGCATGCAGAAAAATGATAAATCTCTACTCAATCTCAATAAAAACAAAACAAAACAAAACTTTAATAAAAATGTAAGGTTAGGTCAGTTTGTAAAATGTCATGTGATGCAACTCCCCAACATTTGAACAAGACACAATCATTAGCTATATTTCCATCCACCTATTTTTATGCAAATTTTGGGATATCACAAAAAAAAAAACACTAGATGGAAACGCCAAGATGCGCATACATTCTAAAAATGCGCATAAAAAAACTTGTGCTCTCGTTTGAATCGAATACATTTTTTATCCGATTAGAAAAATGTGCATGAACTACAATGTAAACAAATTTTCTAAATACAAAAAACTCTATGCGCATCAAAAAAACATGTGACTTCGCGATTGGGCGACATAACTGGACTAACCAGCGCAAAAATCTTTTTGCACAGCATCTGAAATGCTGTTTTGGTTTTTCTGAAATGCCTGAGGAAAGTCTGTCGTCAAAGCCAAACATCAGGCATCCTCCGAAACGTGCTTATTTCATTTCGTCTGTGCGCTCTGATATGCAAGTATTTTATTAAATATAAAAATTACTTTATACAGTGGCTTCTCCTACTTTTCTTAGTGATATTTAGTAACTTAGATGCTACCGATCAGTAATGTAAATTAAGTCACTGTGGTGGTGTTTGTGTGTTTCAGGTCAGCAGGTTCTTGGTTTAGTGGAGAATCAGAGCGATTGGTACCTGGGGAACCTGTGGAAGAACCATCGGCCGTGGCCAGCATTGGGCAGAGGCTTTAACACCGGTACGTCAGCCAGATTTCTGATTATCACGCTTAGAATATACAACATCTACTATGTTATAAGTGCTGTGTGTGTGTTGAAGGTGTGATTCTGCTGTTGTTGGATCGTTTGAGGAAGCTGAAGTGGGAACAGATGTGGCGGCTGACGGCAGAGAGAGAGCTCATGAGCATGCTGTCTACATCACTTGCTGATCAGGTGAACACATTGGCTCTGTTTCAATCCCCACTGAGCTGCCCTGCTGTCTACTTAGTACATTATAAGTGACTAATTTTTAACTAGGCACATTTGTATGATGCAACATGCAGCAATGCCAGTAGCGCTTCACATAAAAAGCACATGGGAGACCCTCAATTGATTTGTTTATGAATAAATAAGAAGTAGACGGGGATTAAAGTCCTCCGACGCTACAGCAGATTTACGCCAGTTGGATTGCAGAGTGCAGGGTGCAGTGCAGATCAGAGTCGGGGATGAACAGACTAGAGGCAAGAAATGGCACCAAAATTCCCCCCAAATTGAAGATACTGGGGCAAAAAATTGCCCATAAACAACTAAACAAATCAATGACTGTCGCAATGAAAGTGATGTAAATGAATAAAGTGTTGAATGCGGAAATGCATATATATATCTGCTCATGTTGCATCAAAGATTTAGTTTTATACATTGTTTTTTGCAGCGTTGAGCATAACAAATCACGTTTTTGTTGAGTATATGAATGCAATAGCCAACCATAGGCGTTTGTTTCTGTGTACTCACTGAATGAATTTTGCACTGTGAATTCTATCATCATAAACAACAAAATGCAGATGCAATTTTATTTTAGAGTAGAGCTGCTTTAGAAAATTAACATAATATCAATTTTATGAACAATATTGTGCCTGCAGGACATCTTCAACGCTGTGATCAAGCAGAACCCGTTCCTGGTGCACCAGCTGCCCTGCTTCTGGAATGTTCAGCTGTCGGATCACACCCGCTCTGAGAAGTGCTACAAAGACGTGTCCGACCTCAAGGTGACATCACTGTGGAGCTGACACAAGGGGGAGCACACAATTTCTTCACACGTATCCACCTTATTTTGCAACACTATATTCTGTGAATATGTGAGACTTCCGCTTCATTAACCGCCATAGGTAAATAACTACAAGAATAACAAAGGGAAGTAAATGGTGAAACTATACCAGTGTGTTCATAATTACGCCAAATAATATGGTAAGACATACAAGTTTTCAATATTAAGCTGCATAACGAGCTGTTTTGTACAGCTAAAAATAGGGAAGCGGATGACACCGGAAGTCAGACAGAGGCCGTGCCTCGCTTACGTTAAAAATAAGGGTGTATAGCTGCCAGGACAAACACCTCATCTACATACACTATATTGCCAAAAGTATTGGGACACCCCTCCAGATCATTGAATCCAGGTGTTCCAATCACTTCCATGGCCACAGTTGTATAAAATCAAGCACCTAGGCATGCAGACGCTTCTACAAACATTTGTGAAAGAATGGGTCGCTCTCAGGAGCTCTGTGAATTCAAGCGTGGCACTATGATAGGTTGCCATCTGTGCAATAAGTCCATTCGTGAAATTTCCTCACTACTAAATATTCCACGGTCAACTGTTAGTGGTATTATAACAAAGTGGAAGCAATTGGGAACAACAGCAACTCAGCCACGAAGTGGTAGGCCACGTAAAATCACAGAGCGGGGTCAGCGCATGCGCAGAAGTCGCCAACTTTCTGCAGAGTCAATAGCTACAGACCTCCAAACTTCGTGTGGCCTTCAGATTAGCTCAAGATCAGTGTGTAGACTATTGAGCTTCATGGAATGGGTTTCCACAGCCGAGCAGCCGCAAGCCTTACATCACCAAGAGCAATGCCAAGTGTCAGATGCAGTGGTGTAAAGCACGCCGCCACTGGACTAGAGCAGTGGAGACGTGTTCTCTGGAATGAGGAATCACGCTTCTCTGTCTGGCAATCCGATGAACGAGTCTGGGTTTGGTGGTTGCCAGGAGAACGGTACTTGGCTGACTGCATTGTGCCAAGTGTAGAGTTTGGTGGAGGGGGGATTATGGTGTGGGGTTGTTTTTCAGGGGTTGTGCTTGGCCACTTAGTTCCAGTGAAAGGAACTCTTAATGCTTCAGCATACCAAGACATTTTGGACCATTTCATGCTCCCAACTTTGTGGGAACAGTTTGAGGATGGCCCCTTCCTGTTCCAACATGACTGCGCACCAGTGCACAAAGCAAAGTCCAAAAAGACTTGTGGAAAGCCTTCCCAGAAGAGTTGAAGCTGTTAAAGCTGCAAAGGGTGGGCCCACTCCATATTAAACCCTACGGATTAAGAATGTCATTAAAGTTCATGTGCATGTAAAGGCAGATGTCCCAAAACGTTTGGCAAAATAGTGTATGTGCTTAATATTGAAAGAAACAACAAGAGACCAAATCAAGCAAAGGGTTGATTCATATAATTTCCCACATTTCTGAACTCCAGGTGATTCACTGGAACTCTCCGAAGAAACTGCGTGTTAAGAACAAACACGTGGAGTTCTTCAGGAATCTCTATCTGACGTTCCTGGAGTATGATGGGAATCTGCTGAGGCGTGAGCTCTTTGGCTGTCCCAGTGAAACAGACCACAACTCGGAGAATGTGAGTTTTATCACTGTGCTTCATGTTGGCAACTTCAACTGCAACTTTTAAAGTTGTAAAGGTCGGCAATGATTTCTTTGTTCAGGCAGCATGAAAGAATAACACTTGTTTTTCTAATATTCCTGCAGCTCCAAAAGACCCTATCCGAGCTGGATGAAGATGACCCATGTTACGAGTTTCGTCGGGAGCGCTTTACTGTGCACCGCACACACGTCTATTTCCTGCACTATGAGTATGAACCAACCTTAGATAACACAGACGTGACGCTGGTGGCCCAGCTTTCTATGGACAGGTAAGAGAACATAGGCCATCTTACAACACCTCCTCACCAACGGATATTTAATACATCATGCCAATATAGGGCACATTAAATCAAATTGATCAAAACTTGATCCGTGGATGATGCCATTTAACCCTCTATGATATGCATTATGTTCTAGCCATGAAATTCAAATAAGTTTTTATTACTTGAAATAGGTTCAGTCATACAAACTTAGTGAAACCACAATGGAAAATAATCAAATCATAATTTTATAGAAATTTGAATTTCTACTTCAAAGCAAAGGAAGATATTTGCTTTTAAAGAAATAGTTTTACTGACTTTTAGTTTTATGTTGTTTTATGACTACAACAAACGGCTGGTAGGGACCACACGACATTCCTCCCGGGTTAGTGACATCACTAACCCTAAAATTTACATAAACCCCGCTCCCGGGAACACGTAGTCCATGTTGAGAAGAGGAAGAGTTGTTGTATTAGAGTGCATTTGTGAGTCTGCTCAAGATGTTGCATCCGTCTTTTCACATGCAATACAGTACGTAACACAAATGCAATAGCATGTCACACTGTAGGCATCTTACAACAGTTCTCACACGAGCGATTTATAGATTATCATGCCAGAATATGCTAATTGAAGATAGTTAACTACACATCAGCAACATAAATTCATCAACTAAGAATTCAGAAACGTCCTGTTGCATTCTACATATTGTCACTTCTTCATTGTCCGACTCCAGTTTAAACATAAAAGGAAGAACAGTTTCTGACATTTTAGTGCTTGTCTGTGTGAGGTTATCGGAGCTGCTAACACACACACACAAGCTCTTGAAGCTCCGCCCTCTGTGCCGGGAGCAGCAGCTCATTTGCATTTAAAGGGACACAAAAACGGTGCGATTTTGCTCACCCCCAAAAAGTGGCAATTTTAACATGCTATAAAAAAATATCTGTGGGGTATTTTGAGCTAAAACTTCACATACACACTCTAGAGACATCAGAGACTTATTTTACATCTTGTGAAAAGGGCATTATACCACCCCTTTAATGTTGTAAATGAACACTGAAATGAGTTCCCTGCTAATTGAACCGCACTGTATCCTATACTCTACTCATGATCATACGCAATGGCATTCACGCTTTGGCCTGAACTCAATTAAAATGATTTGCCTTGTCATCATTCATCATCCTGATGACATTAACTGGCAAACTGCTTCTGGAAACGAACCCCATTGGAATGTTTTGAGTCAAAGCTTCACGGCTTTTGTGATCAGTGTAATGAGGGATGGCTCTGTTTAGTCAGGCATGTTCAGGCTACTTCAGACAACTCATCAGTCAGTGCCAGTGGCAGAGGGTTATCGTTCTTGTCAACAGTGACGGATGCAATCCGTTGTCATCTTGGAGGGCATGACCTCTTTGACGGCCAAGTATAGCACTCAAGAGCAATAAGGTTGTCAGAGTAGATGCCACATCTAGTTCGACTTGAATGAAAGTGAGGCTCTTGAGGGATAGAAGTGCAGTCTGTTCAGTACATCATGCTGTTTTTGTATACTTCAACCATTGATATATTGAAAATGTTTTTGTTTTTTTGTGTGGTGTTTCTTAAATCTTTTCTTTGTTACTAATCAGTAAGCAATTTTAATATCAGAAAATATCAGAGTATATTCAGGTCAGTAAAATCTATAGTGATTTATAATTTTGTTTCTTGTTATGCTCAGGTATAAAGTATTTATTTGACTAGAAATTAATACAAATGTGAGTGCTCTATATTTAGTAGCGTAATTAGTAGTAGATCAGGATATTTGATATCACCAATATTTATTAAGTGCCTCGTGGCAACCTTTTTCAAGTTAATATGCTGCATTAAAATGTACCACACTCTAAAATTTCTGAGAATTTATATTTTGTGAAATAATACAATTAAAAACAGATTTGATTAGTTTTTTGTTTTTTTTACCATCAAAAATCATTGTGATTGTTAAGTATCATAAACTTTTGTTGATCACACAGTTTGTTTTTAGTGATAATCCAGTGTAATAAACCAGTGTGATGCTACGGCTGGCCTACAAAGTGACGTCGCACCATTCTGTTGCATTTCATTGTTTTGCCATGGAATAAAAAAAAAAAAGTTTATATCTCACAATTCTAAGAATTTTTTTTAATATTCTGCCTTTTTTCCTCAGAATTGCGAGTTTATATCCCACAGGTCTTAATTTTTTTCCCCTGAAAAAAATAGACTGACTGACAATTGCGAGTTATAAAGTCTGAATTGGAAGAAATAAAATTGCAATTTCAAAGAACAAAGTCAGAATTTCGTTTTTTTTTTTCGCTGTTATCAGGAAAAAATGCAAGTGATCTTCACATGAACACTTAGATACGCACCAAATAATAGCACACATTTATCTAGCTTAACATTAGAGCGACCGCCCATGTAAAGTAGCTAATGTAAGGCTGCTACTTGCATGTTTCAAATGATAAGATGAACATTTGGATTTCCTGCCGGACATAGCGTAATTACCACAGAGACCAGACGTGTTAACAATCTGTCCGTCACGGACAGCATGAATTCGCCACTTCCTGTGGAGTTTTTTTTTGTTTGTTTTTTTTGCAAAATTTGGTGGTCGACTAAACCTCTTCTGGTCAATTAACATTTAGTCCAGTGTATCCTTTTTCAAACTCTTTCTAATCAAACACCTGATTCAACTCGTCAGCTCCTTAGTAGAGACTCTAAGACCAGAAATATATGGGTCAGATAATGTAGACATCCAAAATGTGCACTGTTGGTCTGCCTCCAGGAACAGGGTTGGAAAATTGACAGGTCTGTGGTGCTGTTCTATGAATGTTTTGCCCTCCAGCTCTCCATGCCAGTCACCGAAAACTATGAATCGAGATCGGTGGCTGTTCAATCGGTGCCCCATTTAAATTATTTTATTAAGTTTGGTTATCACAAACGTCTGGAAAGAAAACCATGCAAAATGAATTGGTCAGAAGGGGTGGGAATCTTTTCCTTGCTTCCATTGAAGGACATGATACTTTTTGAATCATTATTAAATCACGCTGGGGAAATAAAATAAATGGTCTCGGGACGCACTGTATCAGATTGTATGTTGTTATGTTTTTGGTCAGTTACTGGAGTGTTTCTTTGTTCCAGGCTGCAGATGCTAGAGGCCATCTGTAAGCACTGGGAAGGGCCCATCAGTCTGGCGCTCTACCTCTCCGATGCCGAAGCCCAGCAGTTTCTGCGATACGCTCAGGGCTCGGAGGTTCTGATGAGCAGGAGCAACGTGGGATACCACATAGTCTATAAAGAAGGCCAGTTCTACCCTGTTAACCTGCTGCGTAATGTTGCTTTGGGCCAGGTCAACACACCCTACATGTTCCTGTCAGATATCGACTTCTTGCCCATGTATGGACTCTATGAGTACCTCAGGTAAGACAACAATGTTGGTCCATTTGGTTTGGTCTCATCTCAACTGTTGACCACAAACCTAAATCTGTGGTTACAGATTGTTATTATTTATCATTAAAAAATTCTAAAACTAAGCCCATGTGCTACTTTATTAAACCCTGTAACAGTATAGTTTAAATTCATATAATTATAATTTGAGTAGGAAACTGTTTCCACAGTTATTAACATCGCAAATCTAATAAAGTTTTTAATATTTAAATTAAAAAAAATTTAATACATTTATAATGCTATACTTTGTGTTATATTACCTCCTCAGTAAATGACAAAAATGATTTAACGCTGCTGTGAGGGTGTTTCTAATGCAACAGCTGAGGGAGTGATGGCATATTTGACATCTGTAATAAATTTCTCAAAAAAAAAAAACATTTAAGCTGTGGAAATGCAGATTTTTTTTTTTTTTGCTAGATTAAATGCAAAATACAACACTTATATTTGGTGTCATCTTCCGTTCATCGCTATAGAAGTTTACACAACTATGATGACTTCTGCTTCTGAGAACCCCGGAAATGTGAAAATTAGGGATGTCTCAAGGATCTGTATTGGGGCCGATTACGTTTTTTTTATACTACGGGGCTGTTGAGTGCTTGAATCTGATTATTTTCAGGGAAACGGACGCCTAAAGTAGTTCCAGGCAGGTCTTGACCGCATTACAGTTCCATATCACTTTGCGTAGTTGACTGTAATAACGGAAAATAGGATACAATTCATAACAAGGAAAAAATGACTGACGATTGCGCTTGAGCTGCCATTTTCAATGTCTAACTTCACAATCAATGGAAACGTGCAGTTTAATTTTAATATAGTATATTGTCCTATCTATAATCAATAGAAAATTAAACTGAATTTATAAATAAATTGATAGTCCTGCTGCACGGGTTTTCGTTATCATTGCAGATAATATAACAAATAAATAAATATTGATAGGCCTTGTTAAAATGGCTTTGTGTTTCATTTATTAGGCTAGCCTACTGTCAATAATAGAAAAAAAAGAATTTATACTGTCAACATTCTTGCACTTCTTTATAAAAAATCTGTGTTGAACACGTATTAAGAAACACTGATAAATACTGTAAGAGAAATTTGCCTTAGATTAAACCATGTGCTCATAAACATTTTTGATGTCACTTTGTTAAAATATGATGTAAGAAAAAAAAAATACAAGGGAAGAAAAGTCATAGAAAAACAGGGGAGAACCTTTTGGGAGAAAGAGAGAAAAACTCTGGTGTGCTTGTTTGCTTCAAAAAAAGACTGGTAAGATACTAGACGAATACCAATGTAACTAATAAAAGCTGAAAGCAAAACTCATTTTGCTCTAAAAATAAGAAATACGGGTGCCAACCCATGTACATCCAAGCATGGTTTCCAATATTGGTGTCAGCAAAATGTTCTCAGGTTGTGAATGTGATTTGCACAAGTAATCCATCTTGTTTCTGTTTTAGGAAATCAGTTGTTCAGCTTGATATGGCGAACACTAAAAAGGCTCTTGTGGTTCCGGCGTTTGAAACACTGCGCTATCGGCTGTCCTTTCCCAAATCTAAAGCAGAGCTCTTGTCACAGCTCGATATGGGCACTCTGTTCACATTCAGGTAAAAACAATACTAAATTTATGGCAGATGATATTTTCTTACATTTGTGACTGAGTCTTTCATGATTATTTTGAATGAATTCATTTCAGTTAATCGATTGAACCAACCTATCGCAAACTTACCTGAATTATACATTTAGTTATATTTATTATTGTTATTTTTTGTACGTTTTTGCAATTTCTTGACCATTTTACGATGACTCAATAAAAATGAATAATCATTTACTTGTCCACAGATATCACGTCTGGACAAAAGGTCATGCTCCCACAGACTTTGCCAAATGGAGAACCGCTACAACACCGTACCGGGTTCAGTGGGAGGCCGACTTTGAGCCGTATGTGATGGTCAGACGAGAAAGCCCCGAGTACGACCGGCGCTTTGTGGGGTTTGGGTGGAATAAAGTAGCTCACATCATGGAGCTGGATGCTCAGGTAACACTTGTCTGCATTAATACTATTTAAATTTCATTAAAAAGCTAAAATTTTCTATAAAAACTAAAAATATATATACTTTTTAACCACAAATGACCATCTTGCACTAGGACTGCAATGCACCACGCATTACGTAATCGCATAGGAAAGGTGTCTAAGACTGTCTATGCGTCAACAATGCTATCAAAAAACACGTCCACCATCGGCCAATGAATTACTGTTAAAAAACTCTAAACCCATATATTTCCTATGGTAAATTTCCTGCATTGGCTGAAAATGGTCATTTCCATCTATAATTGAGACGTTAACAGGCTTGCTAAATAAAACATATCTTTTTTACGCATGTGCTTAAAGGCCTCAAACCGCTTGAACCCCGATAATTGCAGCTATATTTATAACTGTAATCTTATTTCCTGGGAATAAATAGATGTTTCAGCATGTGATGTTGTTTGTTGTGTATTTGCAGGAGTACGAGTTTGTGGTTCTGCCCAACGCCTACATGATCCACATGCCGCACGCGCCCAGTTTTGACATCACCAAGTTTCGCTCAAACAAACAGTACCGCGCTTGTCTGAAGACGCTGAAGGAAGAGTTTCAGCAGAATATGTCTCGGCGCTACGGTTTCGCCGCGCTCAAATACATGACAGTGGATAACAACAGCTAGCCGAGCACATCGTCCCAGAAACCGAAACAATAACCTCCACGAGCTGATCCTGGAGCGCTGTGTGACAGCACCTTTATGGATGCGTTCAGTGGAACTGGGAACGCAGGGTTATTAGGAGGCACGGCTTGTGATCATCCATTCATTCAGGGATCCGACGAGACGTTTATCAGTGGCGTTTGACACCAGTGTCGAGAATTAAACTGTTGATTCCAAGTCACTTTTGTGAGAAGGCGAGCAGATTCAGCAAACGGAAACTTCTAGAATAAATGGTGTCTGTTGTTACTTATTAAAAATGGACAACAACACTGATGCACTTCAGATTAAAGCCTTGAATCTTTCATTCTGACTGTCTAACCATTTGCCAGTCTGTCTCTTTGCTACCTTTTCTCACATCTGACTCTCTGAATATCAATCTATTGGTTTGTTTACCTATCTGTTGACCTTATGCCTCTCTTTCTCTCTCTCTCTCTCTCTTTTCATCTCTACAATCATTCTTTCTGTCAATGCTTCTGTCGGTTGAATAATTTTTCTTTATCTCTGTCTAAAAACTGTTTATCTAACAATCTATATCCCTCGATCTATATCTGTTGTACTATGCTTATCTCTGTCTGTCTGACAATCTATTTAACAATCTGTTTATATATCCATCTAACAGTTTGTCTGAATCTCTTTATATCTGTTTGACTCTCTCTATATCATTTGCCTGTCTGTCTAACAATCTATGTAAATCTGTCTATATATATTTTTTTGTCTTCCTCTCTGTCTGTCTCTCTATATATCATCTGCCTGTCATTATATCAACAATCTCTCTCTCTCTCTCTGGATTCAAGGTTTCAGTCTCTGTGTCGACACCGTTGTTGTGTGTTGTGAAGTAGTGGGAAATGTGTTCATTCTCACTGCAGATGTGAACAGTGTAATAAACAGGGATCTTCACTCATCGGACTGGCAATAATCCGTAACGAGAGGCCAAAGCGAACACTTCATTGACACGTTAGAGATGGTTATTTAAATGGCATCGCAGCACACTAACAGACTTATGCACTCGATTGCAGGCTTAATTAACCAACTTAATCACTTTCTTCATTATTTGTAAAAGATAGTGTAGTTGATGCCGCTGCGGCAGCGGGACGTGTCACGAGTTGTTATTCCCCATCGGCGAACAACATGTGTTCAGAGAATTATCAGCGACTGATATTCAGAGACTGCACACAAGCTCAACGTGTGTCCGTTTCCATCTGCCATACATCTCTGAAACGTGTCCTGTCTGACGTTATATACTGAGATTCATCAGTTTACCACCTATATGATTGTGAATTTTTTGTGAATCAGATATTTTCAAGATGTTTGTACGACTTTTCGGCAGCATAAGTGTGTTTACCGCGGTATCAATGAAGTGCTTTTAATCGGCTACAGCATTACAGTAAGCCTGCGAGATCTTCTCTATAAGTTGAGCTCATTCACAGGACTGCTGCTTTATTTCATCTTACTTTATTGGTTTGAAGGAAAAATCGAGCATTCATGATGCCCCTTGTGGCACAGCTGAGAACGCACTCGCACTTGCATTATCAATTGCATTGTGACAAATTTTGGAAGGAGAGTTTGTGTTTACATATGATACAAGCAGATACAAATAATCTGTGAAAACAACATGAATGTGATGATGAATGTGTGCTGCTTATATTCAAGACAGGTCCATTAGATTAAACCTGGGCTAGTTGTCACTTTTACATTTTTTATTGAAACGTGATTGACACAATGTGAGGTCATATTTATTTTTTAACGTGCGAACATTTCGGACTCGGTGTGCAAGGATCTTAAGATGGCATGCAATGCAAATATTAAAGGCTGTTTTATGCCTTTGCGAGATAATTCAAACTGTAAAGCAGTTTTAAAAAAAAAAGCGGTGAAAATGTAAGATGTGTGTCATGGTGCTTTTATTGAGTTCGCTTGTTCAATGTGTATTACAAAAATTGAATAGTACATTTTAGTTGGGCATTCATTTACATTGGACTTCAAAGCATTTTAAACCATGTTTTTTTTTTTTATTAACCACTCTTTCAATATGTGACAACCAGTGTTGTGGAAAGTTACTACTAATTCCGTTACTTAGTTACTTTTATAAAAAGTAATGTGTTACGTTACTTTTTCTCTCCTGGGCTGGGCTTGCTTGTTTGATTTATAATAACAACAACAACAAAAAAGTTTGTTTTTGGCAAATGTAACGGCCCTTTCACGCCAAAGTGAAATGAATAACCCTCAGGCTGACGGAAATGCAAATTCACTCCTGTACAGCAGAGGGCGCAGCTCAAACAAACCTTTCAGCTGTGCTGACATTCTAGATCACAGAAGAAAAAAGCAATAAAAACTAAAAAAATTCAACAAATGTGATCTTATCTAAAGTCATTTTTGTTAGGATGGTTGAATCGGATCGTCAAAGCTCAGCAGCAAATACAGGTCAATAAAGTGAGGTTAAATACATAAAGTATATTTGTGTAAACATATTTAATGAATGCAGGTTTGCACAATATTCTGAGTTTGCATTTCACTGTTTTTATTCTTTTTGAGAAAAACAGGTTGTGTTTTTGTGCAAATGAGATGAGTACATGCAAAGGTTCACATCATGGGGACAGAAGAGGTGTCAATCAATACATGGGAAAACAAAGTAACTTGCGTTACATTTAAAAAAAAAAGTAACTTTGTTGTAAATTTAAAAGTTTTACTAGTTACTTGAAAAAAGTAATCTGATTACATACCTTGTCACTTGTAATGCGTTACCCCCAACACTGGTGACAACTAGCCCCAGTCTCCTGTATTTGCATAAGAAGTCAAACCAGCAGATGAAGTTATTAATGGACAGCATATGTGTGTAAAATCTGAAGGAGACTCGGTTCCAACCATCCAGTTGATTTAGTATTCGTTTGGAAACCGTCCACGTCACTGAAATGTTCTGACGTGGAAGCCTTACATCCGTGCCCTTCTGTGGATATACATGTTTCATAATGTTGCTATGATGCTCATTGATATGTTTGCTTTGTCATTATTTTCCAGTATTTTCTGAGGTTGTACGCGAGATGTGCTGAGCTGTGTGCGCACACTAGCTGATTGATGTGTGTTTAATATGAATATAAACAGCCACATGTCCAGGATAACACTGATAAAAACTGCTTCTGAATAAAATCACATCATGTTGTCTTCTCCTGCTCATTTTACTGTTATGTACACGATGATGAAACAATGTTTCACCGTTTCAGTATTGCATACATTCATTGCATTATGAATCTCCTAACCACATAAAACATTCAAAATGTCATTCTCTTAATTAAGGTGGCATCACTAAATATAAAAAAGTAAAATATTTCACAGAGACGGCTGTCGTTTTGCCTTTTTAGGGTGTATTAAATATAAACTTTTTATTAATTATTTTACTAATTATAAAAAAAAAAAATGCTGCAGCAATATATAAATTAGAATGGAAGTCTGCATTTAAAGGAATATTATAAACAATTCTAACGCACTTTAGAGAGAACGTTAAAGAAAAATAGACTGAATTTACTTCATTTTTATTTCATTGACTGATTCCTCTTCATCATAATAAACATAAAACGTATAATTATGACAATAATGTTAATCACTAATTATCATTAATACTAATATTACTTTTAGTAATAGTAATAATTATTATTACGTTATAATAATAATATTATAATAGCAAACTATTAATAAAATGTAAGATCCAGAAACAAGCATGGAGAAAAATACATATCTAAATAAAAACAAGATTTTCTTCATATTCATATAGGCTATACATCATGTGACTCTCCACAAGACAACATAAAACAATATGTTTAAAAAAACATATTTAAAGATATAATGTGATTCTTTTTTTAAGAATAAAGTGCACTATTCCACATAAAACACCTTGAGGTGAGAGCAATTATAGGTTTTTTTTTATGATTAACCCTCTTCCTTCCCTCGCTTTTTGTAACATCTTTCCCTCATGGGTCCAGAAAGATATTTTTTATTTCATTTTGATAATATTTTTTCTATTTTTTAAGGCAATTTTGCGGGAGATTTTTTTTTTTTTTTTACCTTTAAGTTGCTAGAATTGATCAATAAATAATAAATGAATAGTAATTTAAGCACATTCCTCACATTCTTTCAACTTAAATTCAAAATATCTCAATTACATGCCTAAACCTTTTAATTCAGCTCAACATTGGGTGTCTTTGCCGACCTCTTGTGGAAAAATAATAATATAACATGATATTTCATTACTCTAGCCACTAGATGGCCTTATAGCTCTATATAGAGGAAATGAGCTGTTCCGCTGGGTCCTAAAAAGTCAGTTCTTTTCAGTATGCATTCAAGTTTCAAGTTTGTTTTTATTTATATAGCACATTTAAAAACAGCAAACATGGCTGACCAAAGTGGTGAACAAAACACAAGATAAAGAGACCAGGGCAAACCACACATTCATGACAGAAGCTCACAATGAATTAAAAGCTAAAGAAAAAACACCTAAGTTCTTAATGCGGGATGAAATAAAAGGAGCAAGGTGATCCAGGTCCTGCTCTTAAAATTCTCATGGGGGCCAAAGACCTCGGTGTATATAAGACGTTTTGAGAAAAACACATTTTCACTTCATCTAGGCCCGGAAAAAGAGATTTCAGAGCAGCATGTTTATTGCGTTTCAGAGGTAAATAAATTTGGGTATCATCTGCATAGCAGTGAAATGATACACCACCATTTCTGAAAATGGAGCCCAGAGGAAGTAAATACAGGGAAAAAAGAATGGGTGCGAGAATTGAACCCTGCGGCACTCCACATGAGAGTTGAGCAGGCGACGAAGAAAAATTACCCAGTCTAACAGAGAAACTTAGGGATACATTGTACAACACCTTCAGGAGAACATTAAAGAGCATTTAGAGAACGTTTTACATGTAACAAACAAGAGGAAAAAACATAGATAGACAAAACGGAAACAGTGATGAGCGGGTGAAAAGCAAACTAAACCTCATATCATCAATAGAATCATCCAAAAAATCCTCATAATATTGTTTCAAGAATCTTCCACATTTGTATTCCTAGTTTGATTAGTGATGGCTCCCTGTATGAGCGACGCCTACGGCATGACGTCAGGAAGAGCACGGGGTGTTCCCGACGCGAGTCACGCGCACGCGCCGCGTCTCAGCTGACGGAAGTGCAGGGCGCTCGTGTTGTTGTGTTCGGGCTCGATCGTGTCATGAACAGGGTTGCCGTGAGATGAGCGGTGCGATCGTGTCATGACCTCCGCGAGCATCATGGCAGCGCTCTCGGGCCAGAGCGACGACCCCGCCGAACCGGACCAGTCCCTGCAGCACATGCTAAAGGCCATCGCGGACGAGCGCAACCGCCTGAACGTCAAACAGGACCTCAGCGGACTGGGTCAGTATCGATACATTCAGCCGTGAACACTCACAGCCTCTCTGTCCTTCATCAACACCGCAGACACGTCATCAGAACTTGATTGTATCATGTTATTCAGGCGCAATAACAGGCCGCGGTCATCAGCTTTTGTTTCAGCCGGTGGTCCTCTATTAAATGACATCATTATTCACGAGGCGCGCCGCCGCGCTGTCGAGCCTGTGATGTCATAGTGCTGTTGTCTCACTCCACGTTGAATTCGATATCTATCTATCTATATCTATCTATCTATCTATCTTTCTATCTATCTATGATTGATGAAACCACGATACAACTCCCTCATAGCGAACACCTGTTGAAAATGACATCACTCAGTAATGTGTGGTACTGTCTGTATACCAGATATTTATAATATTGCTTTGTGAAACTACATTTTGGCTGATTGATTTCATTGACCGACCCTTTGCCTTTTCCCGTCCTATTAATAACACAGCAAAAGGTTTTTGATGAACTCTTTGACTGTTAGGTGCTTTTTCTGCAGGGAAGCTGCTCTCGGTGTCTGTTGTCAGGGTCATTCTGGTGATAACTCAGTAACTCAAGTCACATGCAAATTCATCATCAAAGATCATATACATAAATATACATAAACACATTAGAGTGACTCTCTCGTATTCTGAATCATATCGATATTTCAGTTCACCTCACTAAGCCAAATTGCACAAAAGACATTTTAGACATTTTCCATGTTTGATTATGGTCTTTGTGCGTCACTCTCTCTCTCTCTCTCTCCCTGTCGTCTTTCTTTGATGTTTTGTCCCTGTTAAATATTTCATTCTCTGTGCGACACACTGTTAATGTTTTGCGTTTTGCACGGTCTTCACTTCTGCTTCTGTGAACATCTTCCTCTGGTTACAACTGACACATACACTCATAAGGTGTTATGTTTTTTGGTAACACTTTACTGTTCAATTTGTTAACATCAGCTAATGCTTTAAACTAAAAAACTTTTCGATTATTCTTTGATTATTCTAGATTAATGTTAACTTACATTATTTGTTCCATTGTTATTTCATGTTTTGTTCATAAATAATACATTAATGTTAATTTACACAACTTTAAATGAAATTAGCAAATGCTGTAACCTACTCTATTAACTGAATTTTTACCTTATTCTAAAATGTAAAAAATTCCCTCAATCCCGTTAGTTAAGCATATCTAGGTGGATCATTTTCAGGATATGTTAATAAACCAGGGATTTTCTGTTCTTCACAGCATTACAAACTTTATCCAGCTGTGTTACCAGAGAAATATATCATACTCTTGCTGTTTAATGGGGAAATGGCTGTATATAAGTAGATATTGCAACCTTATGCCGAGTTAACATCAAATATAGCCGTTTAAGCAATAGTTCACCCAAAAATGAAAATTATCCCATAATTTACTCACCGTCAAGCCATCCTATATATGAATTTCTTCTTTCAGCCGGACACAAGTTATATTAAAAAATTCCCTGGCTATTCCCAGCTTTGTAATGGCATTGAATAGCGCCCGAGTTTTTGAAGATCCAAAAAGCACATCCATTCATCATAAAAGTAATCCATACGACTCCAGTGGAGTTACGTCGGGTCAGAGGTCGCCAGAAGCCAGTGATTGATTATAGCCTAGTTTATAAAGATTTAAATATGGATATTTTTCTTACAAAAACCCATCTCTTCGCTACAGAAAACTTTTATTAACCCCCTGCAGTCGTATGGATTATTTTTATGATGGATGGATGTGCTTTTTGGAGCTTCAAAAACTCTGCTTTAAAAAAAACTCTGCCATTACAAAGCTGGGAAGAGCCAGTATATTTTTAAATATTACTCTGATTGTGTTCGGCTGAAAGAAGAAAGTCTAGGAGGGCTTGAGGGCGAGTAAATCGTTTCATTTAAAATTTCATTTTTGGGTGAACTATCCCTCTAACAAAGGAAGCTCCATTTGAAGAACAGATCTGGGATGTCATTGAAACCTTTCAATGAAAAAAGCTTTCCCGGATTCATGGAGGAATTTAGTGGAAGAAATTAGATGTTATGTGAACAGAATATTAAAAAAATATTTACATTACCAGTGGGCAAAAGCTCCAAAACGCTTTAAAATTAGACCTTAATGTCTTTAAGACAGTATGACAAATTGTCAAATTATGAAATTATACTATATACTCTGACTAAAATCTTCTATAGAAGTTGCCAGTTGTTTCTAGCTGTAGAAGAATTGAAAAGTTTCAGTGGAACTGAGGAGAAGAAAGACGTAGGTTGTTGTGCTGGCAAGCAGTGCTTCACAGAGTGTGAGAGAGTGTGTGTGTTGAGTTGGCTTATCTGTTGCTGTTAATCTACTACAGCATCTGTTCAGAGTTACTGCTGGACTTCACAGTGCAAACTAACTTGACTTCAGATTTGGCCTTTTCACTTCATTTGTTTGTTCTGGAGGATGCTTTAATCTTGCAGATTTAGAAGCTTTTTGAGTGGTAGATCTTCAGGCAGAACTGAACATCTTCCTCTTTCTAAACGAGGATATGAGACTCCAGGTCATACGATCATTTCTCTTTTTGGTGGCTTGAGATCCATGAAAGTAAATATCATGTTAGGAGCCGCTACTATTAAGCACTTTCCATTGGCAAGGTGTGGATGCCAGAGCTGGAACGGTTCCGGTTTGCACAACAACTCTGTCTGGACAAAACTAAATGGCTCATTAACATCAATAAAGATGTCACCAATGTGAAGCATTTATTGGCTCCTGCCACTTTTAAGTCCTTGCTTGTCTGAAACTGAACTATTTTAGATATATCTATTTGACATATATCGAAATATAATTGAATTGATTGTTAGTAATTTAATTTGTTATATATTTAACTTAAGGATGCTTCAGAAGCAGCTCATGGTGACATATACACTGAATTCAATTACTTTTGAATAGGTTTTAAATATGTTTTGCAAACCTTGTAAGAGACTCGTATACATTTTATCTTTTGAGAATTGATTGGATGCTGAAAGGCTTTTCATACCAGAATGAATCTTGGGGCCATTTACACGTCACCGTTTTCATTCAACTAAAAATGGAAAACTTTTTATGTGTTTTGGCCGGTCATTTACAAGACAATGACGTTTTGGGGGCTGAAAACACAAACTTTTGAAATCGAGTTCAAGTTTTTGAAAACAATAACGTTATCGTCTCTGTGTAAACTACAAAAACGCAAATTTGTGAAAACGGTGATGTCATGCGTTTCTTTACAAAGTGTTACTTTACAAAGTGGCATCACCATCTACTGGCCTGGCATGAATAATACAGCGTTTGTAGTCGTTTTTGCGAATCAGTGCGAACAGGGATCATTTTGACAATGTTGTCATTTGTATACGAACCTACGAAAACGCAAAGAAAAACGTTTCTGTTTTTAGTACGTTGTTGTTGTGTAAACGTACCCTAGAACTGAATGCAAATGATTAATTTACCATTGGTTAATAATATTATCTATGCAGTGAGAAAGTCATTTGGAGGTGGAGCAACTTATTAAAATTTTGGCATAAGATTATATGCATTAATAAATGTGTATTAAGCAAGTAAATAGGATCAATTTTGATTTCATATTGATTGACTGCAATATTGTCTAAACTGTTTGTCAAGTTTACACTAACATTCAATAACACCTGACAACAATGGTCAGAATTTTTCTTAAGCTGAAATCCATCTACAAAATTTTTATTTTTTGCAGTCTGTCCACTTATTGTATATGTTTGTACTAAAAAAACATTGTGCTTTTTTTCCCCGGTTCATTTAAGTAAAAACACTTGTATTTGATTCTTGTTTCTTGTGACAGATTCTTGTTTTGTTTTGTCTAGGGTGCTTCAAGGATGACCGTATAGTGTTCTGGACATGGATGTTCTCCACATACTTCATGGAGAAATGGTCACCCCGTCAGGATGACATGCTCTTTTATGTGCGTCGCAAGCTCTCGTATGTCAGTACAGACGAAACAGAAGGGAAAAAGGTGAGATCAACCTATTAACCCTCTGGGGTCTAAGGTGTTTTTGGGGTCCTTGAGATGTTTTGACATGCCCTGACATTTGTGCTTTTTTCAGTTGCTTATAAACATATTAATGGCACAGGTGAAATTACACTCTATTTAGCACAAACAGGGCTACCATAATATGTGAGCAACATGTACAAGTTTGTATTTTTGAGAGAATATTGTTTATGGAAGGTTATTGAAAAAACTAAAAATTAAAGTTTCTGAAATAAGGCCACAAAACACACACTAAATATGTGTCCACAAGACTTTTGACTAATGGATGTTGTCGCCTAGAGTTTTTGCTTCAAAATGATCTGAAAATCATCCTGCCTAATCATTCACATAAAACAATAGATTGTTTTAAATTGTGAAAAACATTTTTTTGTTTGGAAAGGCAAAATGCGTGGCCCAACCCCCTCATGTATAATTAGGTGGTTCTCACCTGAGAAGACAAAGACCCGCATAATGAGCCTTTCATTCAGGTGTGTCACACAAGAAAGAATGCAAGGACAATATATATACATATATACGTACATATATACACACACACACACACACACACATACACACATATATATATATATATATATAATCAAAATATAAATGAAAGTCAAAAGCACATTTTTAGTCATACCTGGAAACAAATCCTGTTCAAATAGGTTATATGGGCCATTCTATAGAATTGGTTCAAAGTTAGAGTTGGAAACATCTTGAAAAGAAAACTGTCTTTTTCCATAAATCTCTTATAAAGTATTATTTTTTAAAGTAGGCCAATACATTTTATCATACATATTTCAAAGTTAAGGATTCATTATTTTGATATAGCCTAGCTTGCATTGGAACAAACACTATAACAGTTGATTAGTTTATTTTTGACAAAACATACTATATATTTAACATATGAGCAGAAACTGTCTAACAAAAGCTTATTTGATGTCTATTTTAGAGTAAAAACTTTATAATCTATCCAAAACTAGTCAACGAAATGTTGTCATTGCAGACACTATTCTATATCGCGATTAGAACAAATCTCAGTAGGCTATAGCAATATAGTTTGGATGTGTTCATGTAAAAATAACGTTTACTAATGTAAAGGCGCACAGATGCGATGTACATCTTTAAACAACATCGCGCGCGCGTCTGTGCCATTCATTCATTCACACACAGACACGCAATTCATATTTAAACAGTCTTTGTGCAGTTTACAGACACTATTCAATAACACGATTAGAACAAAGCACTTAAGAATAAATAACTTACTACATCAGCTGAATCCGTGCTCCTCGAAATGAAACTACCAGCACTTCTTGATGTAACTTTTCCAGGATTATTACGATAGTATTATTCCTCACAGCGCAGCAAGACGAGGTAAAGTACAAGATTCTTATTAAACTGGATGTTTTATCCAGCTGATGTGGGCGTTGGCATGGCTTGCCTCAACATTTGCGTTTGAATAGCGTGCACTCTCCTTGGGCGTGGTCACATTAACACGTCATACGCTATAATTAGCTGAAAGGAAAAAGACTGACATCTCTCTCTTTTCATACAGATTACATAAACTGAGAATATTTGTTTTTTATATAAATTACTTCATTTAAAAGAAGAGAATTTCAGCTTCATAACGAAAAATCTTTCGTGCCTGTGTGACAAGTATTCACTGAGTTACAGTTCATTTTCGGACGCATTTCAGAATGAACTTCACTGACAGAGAGAAGGCAAAATTTGCATCATGTTTATTTTTCTTTATTTGACAAAAAGCAGATCACTTCGTTTTTATTGTGAGTATCCACCAAAAAAAATAGACACTTAACAGGATCTAATGATGTACAACACTTATATGTAAGATCTAAATCAACAGAGTAATTTGAGTCTCTTTTGCACTGATAAGGAAAAAAGTGAGCTCGTCGCGCCGGCGCGATAGCCGACCCCAGAGGGTTAATTGTCAATCCATTAATTGATCCAAATATTTCACACCTAATTAAAACATTTCATACATGCCTTAGGTTTATTTTGAATTTTTTGTGAGCACTGCAACAAACGGTAGTCATACATGTTTCGAAGGACATGAGTGTGAGTAAATGATTCAAGGGTTAGTTTACCCCAAAATTTTAATTATCCCATAATTTACTCACTTTGGGTGAACTATCCCTTGAATTGTTATTTTTAGGTAAACTCTCTTTAACGCCCAGTATCTCCTGTCTCCTATACTCTGTTACTTTATCACCTTCTCCCAAACAGGAAAGAATTATAGAGTAAATAAATAAATTAAGTCACAAACATCTGTAGTAATTGCTGAGATAACTGAGAAAATTGTTTTATAGTCAATCATCTGGACATTATTTAAGATTAATGAGATGGAGAACGTCTCAGATGTCATTTTTTATGCAGTTGGCAAAGCTGATTAATGAAACGTAAAACTGTAGTTGGCATTTAAAAGTCCCTGATAAGGCTAAACATAGATTGTCCGAGATGTTTAATCTTGCCTACATTAATAATGACATATTATGCCAATCAGAGAACACCAAAAAGTGCCGTTTTAAAATGTCCAGGCACTAACCAGACAGAGAATGCAGAGAGAATCTGAAGTTGTTTGATTTGCTGTAGCGATGACTTGCTTTGGTTTCAGGTGGAGGTGGAGGTTTACAGAAGAGACTCTAAAAAGCTGCCTGGACTCGGTGATCCCGACATCGATTGGGAGGAGAGCGTCTATCTCAATCTCATCCTGCAGAAAGTAAGCAAACCTCAATGATCAGACGCCATCAGGGTTTATTTGTGCATTGTCAACAACTCAAGTAAACCCAATATCTCTGCGTCATTGATGTTTTCATAATGCTGGTTTGGTATGGTTTTGCCTATGAAGTCTTTTTGTCCCATAGCTGGATTACGTGGTCACATGTGCAGTTTGCACACGTTCAGATGCAGGAGACATCCACATCCACAAAAAGAAATCACAGGTAAGAAAACATTTGTGCAGTTTGCGTATTGGGATATACAGAAAGGTAACCGGGTCGACTGTCTTACAGTTCAATTTGTCGTTTTTAGTCTAGGCTCAAGGTTAGGATACTAGAAAGTGTTTATTAATAAAAAAGAATCTAATACACTTTTCAATAGTCAGTTGTTTACCAAAAAAATCAAAGTAACAGGGTTTACAGTTGCTTAGATTTGAACTGTAAGACTGTCAACCCTGTTACCCTCCAGCACTTAAGCTGGACTATGATGCTATTTTCTAAAAACATGTTCCAGATGAAAACACAGACACAAAATAGACGTCTCCATGATGTATGTGTGCTATGAGGAAAACCAAACTAAACAAAGTTATAACCGAGACATTTACTAGTCCTTGAAGAATTTACTTCCTTAAAGGGTGATGACATGCATGTTGGGCAAATAATCGCTCAGCAGTGTTTTACCATTTAAATATTTAATATCTTTAGTGAATGAATTACCTCTGCGTATATGCTAATGAAAACAGCGTTTTCAATGAAAACATTTCAAATGTCAATGCGTTTCAAATGTTTTCAATGAGAACATCTCTTTATTTTCCAGCAAGTGTTTGCCTCTCCAAGCAAACACCCAATGGACAGCAAAGGGGAAGAATCCAAAATGAGCTACCCCAACATCTTCTTCATGATCGACAACTTTGAGGAGGTAACTCTCAAATGTGCTGCTGGAGCAACGATGCTAGAACAAAACTGCTAGTGTACTGCAACATCATGAGGTTAATCAAAGGTGTGTGTCTACGAGATGAGGAAATGAAGTACATTAGCTTTCAGGTCATATCGCAGTGATCGCTTTCTGAGGTGTGTACGAACAGGTTGGACAGGTTTATGTGCTTTTGTTGATGTTGTTGACACACTAGCACATTATTTTTTCCGGCAGATTACAAAACAAAACCCGTCTTAAAACAGCTGTATTTATCAATCCAATCAAACGTTAGACAATACGTGTGTTGGCTGATGATCAGGTTTATTCAGAAAAGGCTACAATCGGTTTTAGCACAAAAACTTGTTTACCAAAGATTGTAATTTTCATTTCGGTTACGTCATAATGTACTATGTAAGGAAGTATATATAGCTGTCAGGTGAGGTTTTGAGTCGCAAATGCTCGAGGAGTGATTTGTACGATTGTCAGAACTTAAAATTTGTCTTAAATTTGGCTCAATTTTGTTCTGTACTCCAAACTAGAATTCAATCTAATGCACTTTTTTACATTTACAAATGTTGTGAAAAAAATGTGTTTAATAATTTTAAGCACTTCACACACTATTCATGTTAACATATTATTCATCAACTCATAACTACAGTCTGTAAAGGTCACACATTTGGTCTTTGTTTGTGGTGTGTGTGCAGACTTCTACTATTTACACATGATTTAATAATTATTTGTTCATGTTTTGCAGAACCCAATCTAAAGTTGAAACTATTCATCATTTGTAAATGTTTATAAATGCTTACAATTAATCATTTTGTTCCTTTATGTGTGTATTGTACTTTTAGCTACTGTAACAATGTTTGTGTAAACTGTGGATAGTTAAGTTTAGCTAAATGCTAACTGAAGACAACAACAACAACACATAAGTGTAATTTGGGCGCGAAGCATGTTTTTATTGCCTCAACACTTAGTATGCTATATCCTTAAACAGGAATTTTTTTAATCATACATTAAAAAAAATCAAATAAAATCAATCAATGCAACATAAACAGTTTCAACCATGTTCCCTTAATCAAATTGACCCCTCTACACTGTTGACCCCTTAACCAACCCTTAAACCTGCCCGTATCACCAAACCTGTCCCTAACCTTACCCGTATATCACCTCATTAGCAGCAAGAGTGTTTTGCAATAGAACACGAAACACAATAAGTACATTTGACCTTACAATTATTATTATTTTGATGGAAGTACACCTCAAAGACACCTCATATAAAGTAAGACCATTCATTCTTATATTGTTCAATTTTCTGTTGCACATCCAGATCACTCATAGCTACCAAACACCTTTTTGCATTTGTCAATTTGAAAATGTAAGAAAAAGTGCATTAAGTCATATATAAACTGAGGTTTAATGACATTTGTATAGTTTCAAAAAGCGCATGATCATATGAATTGAAAGTTTAATAACATTTGTAAGTATTTTAATTTACATTAAATAATGATCTGTTATTCATTATGTAATGTTTAATTGGGTCATTAGTAAACATTAACAAGCACATTATTATCTCATATTTCTAGCTATGTGAAAATATATTAACTAATGATCCGTTAAGCATTAAACGTTTGTTAATGACTTATTATAAAGTGGGTTTTTTTTTATGTCTTTTAAAATTTTATTTAGTATTGACTAATTTAGTACTTCAATTTAAACTAAACGGAAATGAGAAATGTTGCCTTGGCAACTAGCTGAAATAAAACCACTTAAACTTGAACCCCCTTTTTTTTGAGGATAGATTTGAACTTAAATGGTTACAATTCATAAATGTTTTTGAATAGAGACCTAAAGTTGGGACAGATTATTGCAGAAGTGAATGCACTTTAAAAAATGACAGTGTAAAAAACTTGCAAATGTACATTTTGTTGTTTTATACAAAGAATATAATTTGGACTCAAAGATAAAAAAAAAATAAAAAAAAACGATAACCACACATACAAGTCGATTTCCAAATTTGAAGTTGATATGTTCCAGAAATGGAGCCCACTAAAATGTCCAATTTCAAAATGGTTTTTCACAGGATGAAATTGAGTGTTTTAAGCTTTCGAATGATGCCTGATTTATAATGATTATTGATTACTGATATATTAAGTAACAGCCTGAATAACTAGTCCTTCTGAATGAGCAGTGGTGTAATTGTCATGATTGTCTGTGATTGGTGTGTGTATTCTGGGCAGGTTTTCAACGATATGACTGTTGGGGAAGGTGAGATGGTCTGTGTGGAGCTGGTGGCCAGTGACAAAAGCAACACATTCCAGGGCGTCATCTTCCAGGGCTCCATCCGCTACGAGGCCCTCAAGAAGGTCTATGACAACCGGGTACGCTTCCATGTGTGCGTGTCCAACGTTTTCATTATCTCGTAAATGCTTCATGTGTGTATTTTATGGAATGTCTTGCCTTGATAGGTAAGTGTGGCCGCTAAGATGGCCCAGCGGATGTCATTCGGCTTCTACAAGTACAACAACATGGAGTTTGTGCGTATGAAGGGTCCTCAGGGGAAAGGTCACGCTGAGATGGCCGTGAGTCGAGTGCCCACTGGAGACACCTCACCCTGTGGAACTGAAGAGGACCAAGACTCTCCCATCCACGAGAGGGTCGGTTCAACTCTGTTTCTGTTTGCAATTCATCAGTCATATATGTTGCAATTTAAATTACTACACAAATACTGAGTTTGCATTTGTTCTCTGCATTGAAAATATATGTGACTGCGCTTTGCGTTTTTAAAAGCGTTGAAACTGTTGTCCCACAATGTAGATTCTATATTGCCAAAAGTATTGGGACACCCCTCTTATCATTGAATTCAGGTGAATTCAATTGTGAACAACAGCAACTCAGCCACGAAGTGGTAGGCCACGTAAAATCACAGAGCGGGGTCAGCTCATGCTGAGGCGCACAGTACGCAGAAGTCAATAGCTACAGACCTCCAAACTTCGTGTGGCCTTCAGATTAGTTTCAGATTTGGCGGTTGCCAGGAGAACGGTACTTGGCTGACTGCATTGTGCCAAGTGTAGAGTTTGGTGGAGGGGGGATTATGGTGTGGGGTTGTTTTTCAGGGGTTGTGCTTGGCCACTTAGTTCCAGTGAAAGGAACTCTTAATGCTTCAGCATACCAAGACATTTTGGACCATTTCATGCTCCCAACTTTGTGGGAACAGTTTGAGGATGGCCCCTTCCTGTTCCAACATGACTGCGCACCAGTGCACAAAGAAAGCAAGGTCCATAAAGACATGGATGAGTGAGTTTGGTGTGGAGGAACTTGACCGGCCTGCACAGAGCCCTGACCTCAACCCGATAGAACACCTTTGGGATGAATTAGAGCGGACACTGTGAGCCAGGCCTTCTCGTCCAACATCAGTGCCTGACCTCACAAATGCGCTTCTAGAAGAATGGTCAAAAATTCCCATAAACGCACTCCTAAACCTTAGTGGAAAGCCTTCCCAGAAGAGTTGAAGCTGTTAAAGCTGCAATGGGTGGGCCAACTCCATATTAAACCCTACGGATTAAGAATGGGATGTCATTAAAGTTCATGTGCATGTAAAGGCAGACGTCAAGTCAAGTCATCTTCATTTATATAGCGCTTTTAACAATGGAGATTGGTTCAAAGCAGCTTTACAAAGATAAACATACAATTTACGGTAGCAGAGATTGTTTTGGCTTTATAGCGATTTTTGAGTAATGTTATTTCCAGCTAAAGTTAGTTTCGATCAATTCACTTCCAGCAAAATTATCATTTGTTATTACATTAGGGGCCACTAAGACGACGGCGTTCTCTCTAAACAGACTTTAAACGCGAACCTGTGACCTGATGGCGTTCACATGCGCATTAAAAATTGATTCTATAGTTATATTCGTTTGAATATGTGTGTGCAGGTTTGCAATTTCCCTACAAACCAAAAACTTTGGCAATATAGTGTATATAAGAAAGGATGCCATGCTAGACAATCATTAGCCTCTTTCACACTGCAATCCCGGTAAATTACCGTAAAATGAACGGAATGATTTTTCTGGTAAATACAGAAATGCGCTGTTCACACAAGCAACGGCATTCTGTCTTTAACTAGTAAGATACCATTCACACAAGGGATGCACCGATACCAGGCCCGATACTGCACTTCTATACTTACTCGTACTCATTAAAATGCTCCGAAACCAACTACAGATAGCACACAGTGTATAAAGTACAGTGCCTGTGACAAAGAAACACAGACAACAGAGCAAACAGAGAGCATAATGGGTATATCAGGGAAGGATGTCTATGAAGTAAATGTAGTGAATTAATAGATGTTAAACAAACTAAATATTTACGCCTATATAGCTGCTGTGCACAAGCTGAATGGAGTGAATTGAGCGCGCAGCGGCACATCCCTTTTTCACGGACTTCGAGAGAGAGAGAGAGAGATAGACTTCTGTTGTATGCTCTTGTTTGCTGATCGTTAACTCAGCACATATTTTGTGCGACTAAAAACATGAACTATTACTTATTTATGATTTATTTATAAGAAGTGGTACCCTACATTATTACAGGAAGGCGGTACAGTAATCACATGATGTTTTCAAGAAGTGTTCTGTGCGTAAACATCCCAGAAATCAGTGCTCGAATAGCCTATTAAATCGAGTTCTCTTTCGTCATCTTGCGCTTGAATGGACAAATTCACACAAAATATTGTCAAAGTATAGGCAAGTATCCTTGTGAAACATAGTCAGTTATGTCTTAAGTGCACGTGAACAGTTTTGTAATAGTATGTTGGATAAGTACAGCTCTTAAAGTGACAGCAGCCTAATAAACCTATTGCTGTCTTTGTCCTCAATGCTAATATAACAACAAAAGACAAAAAGAAGTTCGCTCCCTGATCTTCACTGGTTGAGCCCTGCTGGAGCAGCTCTAAATATTCACAGTGCTATTAAATTAAAGATAAAGTATGATACCATATAATATTAATATGAAAATGATGCATTAAAATAGTACCGCAGTTACTATAGTACAATAAGCTCTGACAGAGCTTTATGATTGGTGGTGGTTGAGGAGATTCCCCCTTCTATGTAAAGCACTTTGAGTGCTGAGAAAAGCGCCGTATAAATGGAATGAATGAATGAATTGGCCCAAAGCAGACTTCTTATGTCAACACATCACCTTATGTTTTCTCATCATTTAAAGGTGATTTACCAGTAAAGACTGTATGTGTGAAAGAGGCTATTGTCTCAAACATTATGTGATATAAATCAATATTTAAAACCAAGATTTTGAAAATACAGTAGCTGAAAAAATCCCTAAATGAACTAGTCCTCTTAAAAATACCAAATACTAACATTATTATTTTCCATAACGTGGAACACATGCATAACTGATGATAACATAGGTTTGTGTTAAACAACCCTTTTAAAAAAGTGTTCCAACTTTGATTTTCATTGGGGCATTTTCATTGGGACATCAATTTAGCAGGTTAATTTAGTACACACACAAAAAAAAAAAAAAAATTAATAAAATGAATCGATCAAATCTTGTATCATGTAATGAATTCATGTGCATTTTTAAACGAATTGACAGTCCTGTTGTCCTTCTAGGTGACATCATTCAGCACTCCCCCTACCCCAGAGAGAAACAGACCCTCCTTCTTCTCACCGTCACTCCGCCGGAAAGTGCCCCGGAACCGAAACGCTGAGATGAAGAAATCGCACTCGGCGAACGACAGTGAGGAGTTTTTCAGAGAGGAGGATGATGAAGGTACACAAACACACTGGAACAGTTGTGACATTAAACAACAGTGAACCGTTTTAGTGGCGTATCAAATAGATTTGTATTTTTAAACCGATTTTAAAACAATTCTTTTGACTTTTTTAGAGGTCAAATTAGCTATAAATATTCTAATTATAAAATAAGTTTCCAGCGTCTATCTATGTTCTGATCTTTTGACGATCTCCTGCAGTCTTAAATTGCGAATTACTGAGCCAAAGAATCGAAGTAGCTCTGCGATTGGTCAAAACACAGAAAGTATTCTGATTACCTCTACTTTTAAAAAAAAAAATTTACCTTCATTTATAGTATAGATTATAGATTGTTTCAAAGCAGCTTTACAGTGATAATAGGAAATTACAGTAACAGAGATTGTTTTGGCTTTACAGCAGCTCTAGAATAAACTTATTGTCCAGTTAAAGTTAGTTTTGATCGATTGATTCACTTCCGTTGCAAAGATCATGAGTTATTAACTTATTAACAACACCGTTTCTTCCTGCGGGACACGGAAACCTGTTCTTTTCCTAGTTTTTGTATGATCTAAAATTTAATTTTTGAACTTAACAGAATTTATTCATCTGAAAACTGTAATATTACAATATTATGTGTGTATACGGTTAATTTAAACTCTAAAAATAATCAGAACTTAAACATTTTGCGTCTTAATTATTATTTTTTATTTAAAGAAATCTATAAAATACACCACAAAAACAATACATATTTAATATAGCCGCAAGCTGCGATTATCAGGGTCCAAGCACCAATAGCTCACGTAGACACAATTATGTGACATAGCTGCCATGTGTCTCTAGACAATGTGTGTTTGTCCTGCAAAGACAGCGGTGTAGAATCGACAGTCTGGAATCTCCGCTAATACTAACCAGTTTGACATGACAGTTAGACAAACTAAGAAAATGAGGAAATATTCAGCCATTTAAATTGTGAGAAAGAGATAATAATTAAAAGCATTTTTATCCGGTGGCTTCCTTTAGTAGACAACATTAGTATTACATCCCTCATCTATCATTTACATTGAGAAAATGCTGAAATATGATTGACAAATCAACAAACATGGCCGCAAGCAGCCAGAGTGATATTTAATGAATGTATTAGCATGTGTACCAAATTTCAACTCCATGGATCATAGAGTTGTGGAGTTACCGTGGGTTTGAAGTTGTAGCGCACCCTATGGGTGGAATTTAACAAAACTTGGTGTGCAGCCTCAGAACATCCTGTTGTCTATGTGTATCAAGTTTTGTTACGTTCGGACATTGCGTAAATATATATTGATCAATACAACAGATAGAGATCAATTTGTGCAAATGGATGTCGCCGGGAGAATTCATTAACATATCTTTACAACCTTTTCACGGTGGAAATTAAAGATACATTTTTAGTAATTCAAAGGAAAAAAGATTTTTGAATCTAGCCCACACGGTTCTGGAGTTAAAATAGAATACGCAAAGGACGCCACCTAGTGTCACTGGTCTTAGTAGCGGGTGTAATTATGAACCATCCCACCAACTTTGGGGGCAGGAAAATAAGAAAATCCTACAAAAACAATAGGGTTTCAGGATTCTGTGGTTGGACCCCTAATTACACGTGTAAAATTGTGACATTTATACAAAATTCAAATCTTTTTGTCATTTTTCTGGATCCATACAGGATTGCTGTTTGAAAATGTTGGTATGTTGTGTAGGGCTGTTAAAGTTCATCCTACTGTTAACGCCCTGCTTCTTAACAAAATAACTATTACAGTTTAATTTGTATATTCTTCTTTAGACACAAATAATCATGATTTCAGTCGCTTATTCTATTGACAACCTTAGTTTTAAACTGGAAGAAATAAAAATAAATAATAATATGCGTGCAATTTTGTGGAGGAAAAACACATTCCTATTTTTTTTATTTTTTTTGGCAACGGTTAGGTTGTCAGGCTTTCCATCCCAAGTAAAATGTAAGGTTCTTTCCTCTCTCCTCAGACCTGTGCAACACTACAAACCTGCGCTCCCGCTCTCTATCAGGGACGGGCCGCTCGCTGGTGGGTTCTTGGCTCAAGCTGAACAGAAAAGAGGAGTATTTTCTGCTGTATTCTCATCTCACCTATGTGACTCTTCCTTTGCATCGTATCACCACAGGTACAGCACACCTGCCCAACATACAAATGGCAAGCCATTTTAGCTTCAAATGTAGAGTAAGAAAATATTGCTGAGGCTGGGTCCCGTTACATCACGGATGGTCATTTTGGCCATGGGTTTGGATTTGGCTGTGCGATATTTATTTATCGTTTACAGTAATCTCATCATTCATTGTGATTTTAACGTCGTCTTGAGAGTTCAAAAGCTTTCACTGTGTGATGAAGCCTATTAGAATGAAGTTAGAATGCCCCAAGAATTCAAGTTTGGGGAAAAAAAAAATATTTTTTACATATATTTATAACTTAGGGGTTAAGTAATATGAATATGACACAAGCAAGAGTGCCGGTTTCCCAAATATCAGTGCATGAGCGCGATCACAAGCATTTTAACTTACAAGAGGTCAATATTGAGTGAGTTATATACAATATTGTCTGTTTTTGCTCAGTTTAGCCAACGAAAATAGTTCCAAACAAAGCTGGAGCAGAACTATTGTGTCTTAGAGCTCACTGTGATGTTTTGTACTTGGAATGAATCTTTGTTTTTAAACGAATCGTATTCAATATCGAGTCGTTTGCTTTGTTTCTAAATGAATCAACCGTTTTGAACGAATTGTTTGACTGAATAATTCAAGTTTGGACTGCTATCTACTGGTGGTTTTAGACAGGCCGGAGCCAGCCATGGTACCAGAACAAAAACAGACTCAGCTAAATATTGCTTAATCATTTTTTTTAAATCCCCAAAAATAGATATACATTTTTTTGCCAATACTGAACTAATTTCATAATTGATGTCCTTTGTTGATTCATTTCGGTTCAATAACATCAACTCTGAACTGATTTCACCTGAATAATGTTTACAATAGTCTTTTTAGAGCTGCTTTACAGCAGAATTGAATTCTGTTTGCATCATTGAATCATTATTTTCTTGTTATCGCTGTAAAGCTGCGTTGAAACAATCTGTATTGTATAAGGTGCTGTATAAATAAAGGTGACTTAATCGTTAGTCGTTAAAATTTTTCCGGCTTGTCATACATACATACAAACAAACTTATTTTCTGTACGTTAGCCTTGAACATTAATTGTAATGGCTCTCTAATGTTTCCTTTTTAGATATTCTGGAGGTGAGACAAAAGCCCATTTTGATGACATAGCATTTCCAGACTCCTCAAAAAACAGTTCCCAAGTGCCTCCTCACATCAGGCCCCTGAGGAACCGCCATCAGATAACCAAAAACTAGCAACAGTACACAACAGTGACGGAGAAGAGGAAAAGGGAACAAACTCCATCAAGAAGTGCCTGTTCTTCAGCGAGACGCCCTCCAGAACGGCTCGAAAGGGAAGTGTGTGTTGGGAAATGAAACACAATAAACGAATGTCGTTCTTGTAAATACACTGCTGCTTAGATACTCAGTGAAATGCACCGACCACAGCCGTCTCCCTTCCTCCCTCCCTCAAGAGACACTCGTAGGTTTCACCATATTGCTGATTTTGTGCATAGTATATTTTCCAAAGGACGTTTCCTCGCAGCTCTAGGCCTTAATACATCACTAACCAGCTGATATATAACACACGCCATCCTTTTGATAGCCCATTGCTAATGTCCAGCAGACGTCCTCCTTTACTCACGATTGTCGTTGCTTGACGTGTTCGAGGGGATTTGTGATATCCAAATACTAGTGAACATGAAGCGTCTCCTGAGAGGACCGACACGTGTGACGACTGCACCTGAGCACAGTTCTTGGAAACCTCTCCGTCCACAAAGACACTTTGTTCTTAAACGTGACACTGCTTTTTTTTTTTTTTCTCCGTCGTGATTTCTTCGCGTTTGGTGACGGTCGACTTCGAGTTTCAGTTTTGAAAACTCTTTTGCACTAAAGGGCTTTTGGAGTTGAACATGTTTAGCCAACCCAAAGTGTCAGTATTACTTTGTTTTGTACGTACGCGTGTGTGTGTGTGTGTGTGTCAGCTGAATGTAATAACTGATCCGACAGCTTTAATATCCATTTGATATTTGATAGGGAGATTTGCCAGCAGCATTTTGAAGTTGTTCTATCTATTTTAAGACCCTAGTCCTCTGTTTTATTTCTCTTTTTGCTGTATGTGCGAAGCTTCAGTGGAAGGCTGTTTTTAAGGAAGTCCCAGTTTGTTAAATGCTTTTCATGCGCTTTTTGTATCAAGTGGTAATTCAGCAGTAAATGTGCATGTTGTCGTATTTATGTTGGTAATATATATATATACACCTTTTCTGTACATCTTTATGAAAATACACATAAAAAAGCTCTTGTTGATTTATTTATTTTTTTGCTTAAAAGTGTTTTGTCAAATATCACACAAATGTGAAGGGGTAATAATATGAAGGGCAAATCAATAATTAGTTTCCCCCAAAATATTTACCTTTCATGAATTAACATATTTAAAACTTAAAGGGATAGTACACCTGAAAATGAAAATTCTGTCATTTACTCGCCCTTGTGTCTTTCACACCGAAACGAGCGGTTTGTGTGAGAAAACAAACAGTATTTTGTTTTTACCTCTTGTAACGCACAGACCGAAGCGCCGGCGCCCTCAGATCACTTGGACGTGGCTGTGTTTACAAGAGGTAAAAACGATATAAATACTGTTCGTTTTCTCACACAAACCGCTCGTTTCGTGTCTTAGGCCATCAATGTGTACTTACATTTACGAGTCATTTAATCATGTTTAATTTGGACTTCTCTGTGCATGCTCTTTGAGGAAGTTACCATAGACCTGCATTATTTTTAAGTCAAACCGTTCTTGTCTGTCAGTCATATATCAAAATTGAAAATACTGTGGACACAAAGACACCTACATCTTGGATGCCCTTGAGGTAAGCTAAAACATACCAAAAATTAATTTCAAAGTGAACTATCCCTTTAAATGAACATTTTTATCTAATTGTTCTCTGCCTTCATTATTTTGAAACCATACAACACATTTGAGGATGTCAAAGTTTCACTCCTGCCACCTAAAAAGAGCCCAGCATTGTCTGATGCAACTATTTTCAAGTTACAAGTTTCAAGGGTAGGAATTTGGCATAAACAGTATAAAGTTTGGTTTGAAGTTAGTAAGGCTATGCTGGAATGTAGTTTAAAGAATAAACAGTTTCCCACAGGATGGGGTCTGGAGGTTCCTCTAGGGGGTCCGAGGGAATGACTGAAACACAAGGGGGCAGCACTTCCACTGGTTCTTCTTGGTGCTTGACCATACAACATAAATCTACAGCTGTCATAGTAAATGGCTGTGAAAGTGCGTGCTTAACTTTCAGAACATGTTGTTCATCCTCTACATAAAACCAAGGGTCAATAACACCAAACAATGCACAAGCTGTTATATTAATTCTTTAACAAGAGTTTGATATTTGGGTCGAAATAGTTCTAGAAATAAATGTCATTTTAAATCAGATATGCTAGAATGAGTATGGAGAGTTAATAAAACAAACTGCCATTGTTGAACACAAAACAAGATATTCTGAAGAATGAGGGCAAGGGCGTAGGTTTGGTTTGAACATTGGGGGGGTTGAAGTGTGAACCATTTAGCAGGGTCCCAGGACATGCTCCCTCATGAGATTCATTTATTTGTGTGTTTTTTTTTTTGTGGTATCATCCACACATGCATTGATAGCATAACTACAATAAAGTAATAGCCTAGTTAGCATTTACTTGTTTACATAGGATACTAAAGTACTTTTATTTTATTCAAGCACCATAAAAACTTTTTAAAACTTAGTCAAACTAACTTTAACATTTTCTTATATTGAAAATGTAAAGTTCTTGTCATCTCTTGGAATATCTGAAAGCCAGGTTTTTCCTAATATCAGTTGTTATTAGCCGAACACATATTGGGGAAAACCACTTAAAAGGTCCTCTTGACTCGAACTTGTACTTGGCCTAAAAAGTGACATAGGTCTTGTAATCGTTTGCATTTGTTACAAAAAGGAAATAATTACAGGTAATTACTCATTACCACGCTACGACCAATTTTCTTTTTTCATTTGTAATGGAAAATAGCTACCTACACATTCAGAAACTATATACACACATGCCAGTTGTAATATAAATCTTTATTGAAAAATCTATTCCATTAACAGATAAGCTAATCTATTATAAATTCTACAAGTTAGTCAAAATTTACCACAATAAATACAACAGAATTTGATAAACTAGTAAAGGTGGTCATGAGTATAAAAAGCTTTCCAATTTATGTTGGTGCAGGATGATGTTTTCTCCTCTTTTCATCACTTTTTTAGTTTATGTGGGTGTTTTAGATTATGTTTGACATTCTCCGTTGTGCTTTTAAGCAGCAAATTGTCAATACATTTCAAATAAGTTGCACATTTTATCATCAGCGTCACGATAGGAATGGCTTGCGCAAATCTTATCACACTTTTGTATTGCGCTGGTGAACGCGCGCGCCACTCATACACAGACAAATAAACAGTCATAATACGCAGATAATTGGTCCGTTCGAATCTTTGTGGTTATAAAAGCGATAAAAGCATTAAACGCACGGTGCATATAATTAATTAATGGCCTGGTTCTGTTTCCATTAACCATGGTATAGGTTTTTCGAAAAAATGGGTGTTGGGGGGAGGGGGGGGTATTTTTCCCTACTATGGCTAATCAACTGTCTGGCTGCCAACATTCTTCCATATCTCTTTTGTTCAACAGAAGAAAGAAACTCATCCAGGTTTGGAACATCCCTTTAATTGTTCGTTTCGGTCGAGGTCAGTAAGTGCGAAATACATTTGAGCCAAAGAACCATTTCTATTGCCATGATTGCTGGAAATGAAACGAGTCATTTGTCAGGTTCAGTTGATTTATTCACCAGTAAATGAATGTAAGGTAGATCGAGTGCTGCTCAACACTTTAAACACATACCGCATTGTGTAAGGCAGTAAAAAGGCCACTTACAGGAAAAAAAAACCCTTCAAGGTCATCTTCAGGACAGATTGCCATAAAGCCATCATTCATTCTCAACCTCAGCAGTTCTGTGGTTTACATACATCCACACATGCCCTCAACCAAAATAAATACCATCACAGCAAGTACTGCCAGAAAATGAGCCATAAAAAAAAAAAACACCAGGTATATCTGATCACTTCTTCCTATGAAGAACTGTGGGGGATTATTTTTGATTAGAGCAGTGGAGATCTGATGCATATACTGTTCTTAAATGTAATACTGACCTCTAAATTACTCGTACAAAAAAAATTGTACAGAAAGGATCTTACACGTACATGCTTCTGAAAAATGAGTCCGAATTAAAAACAAATCGATCCACGTAAAACAGCCGGCTCGGTCTAAACCTCGAAGAATTCCTTAAATAGCAGCTAAATTAAAACTCAAAGGAATGTCGATGAATCCAGACTCGTGTCTTTGCCTTCTCTGATACGATGAGCAGCGTTTACAGTAGGACCACGAGTGATTTCACAGTAGAAGAACCCATTGGTTTCCATCACTCTTCTAGACGATTAACGGGACGCAAAAGAACAGTTCTAGATCAGACAGACAGAGTAGATGTGTGGGTCGTGCGAGAGCCACGTTCAGTCAGACACGTACGAACGAGAGGGTGGATGATGCGTTAGGCTTTCTTTTCCTGCAGGATCCCATGCAGTTCGTCTGCGTCCTCTGCTGTTTTCACACGCACGAGCAGCGGGACGGGTGTGCTGGGGTTCTTGTCGTCCACGGGAGGGTTTGGCACACACACCACCATCACGTTGTTTTTGCCAGTTCGTGAGCAGGGCATGGAAGAGGGCACCATGATGTTCAGCAAGATGTTCCCTATGAACAACCAGAAGAGCCTATCGTAAGCACACATCAAACAACCAATCGTAAACGTCTCTTGGGAAAGTTGACACAACTGTCACTTGCCTGATTTTTTTACTGGTATACTTACCTGAAAAACATTATCTTATTTGTTCTATTGTATTTGTGCTCGTAATAGAGTCATTTTTCTTATTTCATTAATACTGACAGTTTAAAATCCCTAACGTTGAGCCATGCAGAGGGGCCGTCATTTCATTCAAGAACATTTAAAATAATAATAAAAAAACAGCAATTTACTAATTAGTGAAATACGATAATATAAATATAAAAAATAAATTGTAATCCAAACTTTTAAACAGTGGTGTAATTTAAACTTTTTTTTTTTACAGTACTGGTCAAAAGCTTGGATTAAGATTTTTAATGCAAAACTCTGCATTGCTCACCAAGGCCGCTTTTATCTGATCAAAAAAAAACTAAAACTAAAAAACTGTTCTCTATTTGAATATATTTCAAAATATAATTCATTACTGTGATGGCAAAGCTGAATTTTCAGCAGCCATTACAACAGTCTGTAATGTTACATGGTCTTTTAGAAATCATTAGTGTGCATATAAACAAAACCCATTATTTAATACATTTATTTAGAGATTTCTGTCCCTCCATTGACAGCTACACAACTGACACTTTGATGCTTCAAAAAGTTCATAAAGAGATCGTAAAAACGAATCAATGTTTACATGCGAGTAAAAGCCTCAATTCAATCTGTTCATCATAAAGCGAACGAGTCTCTACAGAAATGTTGAACTAAACCGCTCAATTTATTTGGATTAGTTTTATGAACTTTTTGAAACTTCAAAGTGGTAGTTGTGTAGCTGTCAATGAAAACTCAGATTTCATCAAAAAGATCTTTGTGTTCTGAAGATTTACGAAAGTCTTACGGGTTTGGAAAAGGGATTCACGATAAAATGTCCTGACGGACGGTTAGTATTCTCGTTTAAAATGTAATCATCATGAAAAGCGGCTTTGATTATGGTGATTTTGAAAACTGGCGGTAAATCCTGTCCAGCATCAGTCTGACGCAGCGCAACGTTGTTTTTGTTTACGAGAAGACATTATGGATGACGGCGCTCGGGAGATTCATCACCCATAATCCTCCCCGCCGCGGCTGCAGCTTCTCAGTGAATTCCGATATCGTGCGTACTATTCTCCGTTACCGTGAAGCACCACTAAAGATATAAACAAATATTGTAAAGCACCATAAAGTTCATGTACCAAGACTTCTGAAGCCATTCGATAGCTCATATCTCTCCTCAGTCATTCTCCATTCAGCATTCAAACAGCGCGTCGCGTTCGGTTACCACGAGCAATCTCACTCTAAGATCAATGTTCCCATTATTATACTTTATTTGTAGAAAAAGGTCTGTGGTTTTTCATAAATGTTCTTTATCTCGCTGGAGTTTTTTCTGTTTGTAAACCATGAGTCTTTCTCCCGGGTGTGTGTTAGATTACAGCACTGGAGCAGAGAGCACTATGAATGGTTCTTCATGTGCACTGTAACTGAAATGTACAAATGTACAAAAGAAAAGGCTTAATAAACTGTTGCATAGATATGATACACTAATCAGCAATATCTACTCTCTTCCCCTTGTTTTCTGCTGCGCGCTGTGACTCCATGTTGCTTCAAGCGCATCAGTCTGCACACGGGATGCGCATAAGCCGCTCTGGCGATCTATATTGAAGCCTTTCATATTAGGCCTATAATACTTTTGCCCAATGAAAGATTCAGATTATTAATGGTCTTTCTTGTTCTGTCCTATCTATCAAATATTGTTGTCTCATGAAAAAGCTGCGCTATACATTTAAAATGTCTTTTCATTTTAAAGTACATGTAAAAACATTTATTTGTTTTTCATCACTGTATTTTGTAACAATACAAATAGCAATGTGGAACATTAAATTTTATTTGTTCCAACCTAAATGTTTTTTTTTCCACTACAATAACATTTTCTGCTGAATTATCCACTGACCTCATTTATAATAGCACTTTAATTAAACGATAGAGCGCATCCACGGTGATAAGAGATATGCGCTATTATAATGCGTTGCTATTGACGACGGTCATATCATTTAATGTGTATGCTTAACAAAAGTGCATAGAGCTATTCATTTTATTTGTTGTTTGTTGATTTCCAAACATAACTTGTTGGAATGTTTTCAGTGTGCGTATCAGTTCTTTTTGAACATTTTCATCTAATTTTAACAAGACTGTGATAATATTGATAATTTTGGTCACTACAATTGTGATATGAAATTCATACCGTTACATCCCTAGTTTGGAACGACATGAGGTTGAGTAATTAATGACAGAATTTTCATTTTTGGGTGAACTATCCCTTTAAACTACAAGCTAGATGACAGCATTTCATGAAATGTCCTGCAGGGGGATCCAGATCTTCTCTAATCATGGCCAACAAACACACCATGAACCTCTTAAATACTCGTTTAATCACACAATTTACATCTCACAATTAACAGAGCCTGACTATTGTCATCAATATCATCAGCCTAAAAAAGGTTCTTTACAGATAATGTCAAGCATCTTGATGACTTACCCAGGTTTGTGTCGGCGCGCACTAACAGCTGAAGTTTGCTCTCAGCCACCATCTTCAGATGCAGCGTCCCGACCCCCTTCTCCTTAAACTCTCCGTCCTTCTTATAAAACAACTTACACCTGTGGAAAGATCATTTTGATCATCACATATACGAGAGACACGGGTGTTGCGTTTAAAGATCGAGCGAAGGGTACGTGATGTGTACTTTTTGGAGTAGAAGGCGTCTTTCTCCTTGATCTCTTTCACCACAGGAACAGGCGGCTCCTCTGATTCTTCCCCATTTTCATCTAAAACAGAAGAGAGCACAGGAAATTCACATAAAAAATCGTTACACAGCATTTTTCTGAAATGTCCTGACTGATACTCTAAATACGAGTCTGACTTCTACTGATTTTATATTCATTATCAGCATTTGCGCTAAAATTATGAATATTCTTGTTATAAGTGTGTTCTGTGAGAGCACCATCATGTCATCTGCAAGTTCTAATTGATGAAATTGAAAAAGAATTATAAAATGCAACATGTAAAAAGGTTTGAAATAAATAAAAGCAATATATTTTCACACACAACAGCATACATTCATGCTTTTACATTTTTTACAGCCTTCAATTTGCATCTATTTCAAAAGAAAAATATTGTGCAAAATCGGGGAAGTTTTTAAAAACGTGTTTTTCTAATATTTATTTAAAACTATTTTATCCCAAAACTAAAAATAAAATCCAGATTTTTAAAATCTGATAAACTACTATCAAAATAGTTGTTAGGTGCATTGTAGTATAAACATTATTTTGCCCTTTTCTGTTAGTAGATGAATGATGTTCTGTGATTACAGAGATGCATTACTCGGGTCTGTTAAACGATTAGTTTACTTAAAAATGGAAATCCTGTCATCATTTACTCACCCTCAAGTTGTTCCAAACCTGTATGAGTTTCATTCTTCTGTTGAATACAAAAGAAGATACTTTGAAGAAAATCTGTATCCAGACAGTTACAGTGGAAGTCAGTGGGGACCAGAAACTGTTTGCTTACCGACATTCTTCAAAATATCATCTTTTGTTCAACAGAAGAAAGAAACTCATACAGGTTTAAAAAAACTTGAGTAAGTGACAGAATTTTCATTTTTAAGTAAACTTTTCCTTATTTTCTCCCACATTTCAACTGAAATGTACCATTACACAATTTCCCAATAGCTCAAACGGCTAATATATCAAGAAAAAGACCCTAATAAACCCTATATTCCACTAGACTGAAATGAAACAGAAAGATGCCATGAAATAAACAAAATGCCACAGCAAAAACCTATGAATCAGTGCGCTTGCTATTTTAGTGAATAAGTGAACACTGCACTGCTCACGTACCTGCAGTCTGGCTGTTGCCGGCTGACACCGCAGGACTGACACTGCTGACCGCGGATCCAAACACCGACACGCCTGAGGATGAGGAGGAGGTGGAGAAGGAGAAAGACGGCGCTCCACTGGACGCCAGCGCACCGAGCACAGAGCTGTCCACCTTCTGGCCGAAATTAAAAGAGACGCCCGGAGCCGCCGCAGCTGCCGGTTTGTCATCATCCTTGTCTTTAAAGGAGAAGAGCTGCGGTGCTGCTCCACTGACAGCAGAACTGGAGACGGTGGTTCCCGCTGCCCTCGACACAATCCGCTTCTCCGCCCCACCGTCTGACGTGCCGCTGCCGTATTTCCTCTCGATGCTGGCCAGGTGTCGCTCGTAGTCCCGGAAGATGGGGTTCAGGTCACACAGGGGGTTGTCGTTGACGTGTTTGGTGATCCAGTCGCGCACCGAGCAGTTGAGCGCGGTGAGCTGCCGGTTGTACTCTTTACTGCTGGGGGCGGAGCCGTTGGAGGTGACATCATCCGTGGGCTTGGAGGGGGCGGAGCTGTTGAAGGTTAAGGGACCTGAGGATGCAGAGAGACACAGGGTGACTAAGAGCTCTGAAGAGATGCCTCTGCGAACAGTGTGGCGACTGCCGCCCATCCTCCCTCTCTGACTTCAGAGTGTGTTGCCCAGTCAAGTCAAGTGACCCAATTCAATGCTACGTCATGGCCTATATAAGAACACTAAAAGGTAGTAGGGCAATGGAGGAAATGATGGTTCTCTTATAAATATTAACTGAAGGGTTGCATTCCTTTGTCACATTCCAGTGTAATATGCAGTGACAAAGTTTGGTTTCCCTGAATAGTGCGACACTAGCCATTTGGCAGTGGTAGAAAACTAAACATAAAATTGCTTTTTTTAATTAAACAGTGGTTTACTGAACATATTGTGTCTCTGTCTTTGAATGAATTCAGTTATAATTAAAAGTTGAAGGACAAAAAATGATATCTCTGCTAATGCTGTGACCTATATAGGGAGCCCATACTTGCACATTACTATAATATTAAAGGCTAATAAACTAGCCCAAACTAATAGCCTAAATTCAGTTGCTATTTATTTTTAGATAGAATAATCAACACTCAAATAATAAACTGTATGCAAACATGTAAACTGCACATAAGGCAGTTTTAGCATTAACTTCAAAATTTAATAATAGGTTTTTACTCCAATTCGTTATTGCAATATAATTATTTACACACTGGCTGTGATTTTCATGACAGATATTTTAAACAGACATTAAATAATCAAGACATCACTAACAGGCTAAGTAAAATACAATTAATATAGGCGAGTAAAGTGCACGTTTAGCGAAAGAGTTTATTTGTCTAGCTGACTAACAAGCTGTGGACACTGAATGACTTTCCTGAGGTAAACGTACTGCTGCGTGGGATATTGTTTTAACGCTGTTTTACTGATGTCTTTCCACCGTTGAAACACTGATTGAGCGATTACACGATATAATACGTTTCAGTAAGTTATACTGTATCTTTCAACATACCTTCAGATGTTCATTCACATTTATAAGGAAGAGATGGTTGCGTTCACTCGCGCTGCTTAAACTGAGGCGCCTATATAGCGATCGGTCACGCCACATTAGAGAGCGTCAAAACGCCATTTATAGTTTAAATTTCGTGAATAAATGGACATCAATTGAAAAATGACACCGTTTCTTATCGAAAGTACCAATAATCGCAATAAGCTCAGAGCTTATGGTTGACTCAGATGATCATAACATGACGCCAGAGAAGGCAGATGTTACGAAAACCTGCGAGGTAGATTGTGTACCTGAACTGAAGACTGTATTGGGAACGGGCAGGGAACAATTGGCTACTGCTCAGAGAACAGACCCTTCTTTACAAGCTGTATTGAGTCTGTTAGGAATCATAAAACAAACGTGTACCGTTACACCACCCTAATTACTATTTGTATGTCAAGTAAGAAAAACTAGTTTTGTGACATACAGTAAACCTCAACAATGGGCTAGGGCTGGGCGGGGCGCATTCGGTACGCCATGAGAGTATTTTCGGGTCGGTTAGAATATCGTCACACCCCTACTAGCCAGGTATCAATGTAAAAAAAAAAAAAAAAGGGTATAAAACCAAGATATGAATAAAATCTCACAAGTGCAAAAATAGATTTGAGAAAACACAAAGCTTAGTAAAAGCTTTGAGAAAGCACAAAGCAAAACACAAATCTACACACTTCACCTTGAAACATTTGAAGATGGTCTGTTGTTGTTTTTTGGTGCAAGTACAATTGAACATAAAACCATATTACATTAAATATTATTATTACTCTGGTCTGAGTTAGCATCAATTATATATTGCCAACATGTATTACATATTGAATCAGAACCAGAAAGTTAAATTCAGTTTCAATTACAGACTTTTATTATTCTTTATAATTTACTCCTTCAAGCATCAATATAAACTCAAAAGATTAAAATTCTGATGGCAATATTCAAAGTTACCTGAAAACGTTTTGGACGACATTTAAATCTTTTTTGACGACTGTTAATTGTTTTGACATTAGGATAAGAAATACATGTCTTATCAGTCAGAAACTATTTCTTTAGAGAACAAATATGTATAACTGCAATTAATAACGTAATTATGTCTTGTCAAAACTTGTGGTGCACTAATCAATCTCATTGGTTGTGTGACAGTTCAAACTCATGAGATGAAAGGAAGCTAATTCTCAAAGTGTTCACTGATGGGCATCATGTCAGACTGGGTTGGTGCCACAAGGCTAAAAATACCAGTTTGTGGTTGATGAGGTAAACCGTCTCTGTGATTGCCAACTGAATAAAGCACAAATACAAAAGCTGTGGAGATCTGAGAATACTGCTGCCCAAAATAGACTATGAATTGAGACCATATCCATAGTGAGCCACAAACAACTGGATTATTTATGAAGGTGGAAAGAGCAGTACTGTCAGCGCACGACTTTCGCTTCATCTTTGGCTTCAAGACAAATAGTAGCACAGCATATGTGCTGTATGTCCAAATAACATCAAAAATCAACCAATTAATAATAAATCTACATTTGCATGTAACTAGGGGTGTGCACGAATATTCGTTCTGTAATTAATATCCGAAAAATAAAATACTATTAGAATTTTACTACGTTGCTTTGCTGGCCGTAAATGAATCCATGAGAAGTCCCAAGCACTAACTCGCAGTTATAAGTACATGCACTGGGTGGCGCTGTGGAGCGCGTTAACAGGTTGATTGTATTTGATCACATAATGTTGTCGTCTGCCTAAGTTTGGAATTACTTAGATGAAAATGATCTTACTAAACGGAATTACTTTTGATCAAATTAATGAACAGGACTTATAATAGCACCACCACAATGAGATCACATGAAATCCAAATGGTAAATGGTAAACATTACCTTATCAGATAGCAAAATGATTTTGAGACATATGCTTCTTTTAAGTTTCGTTGAGGGAGCCAGGAGAACAGAAAACACAAAGTGCTGTTAGTAACTTCACTTAGCACACTGTGTTTCTGTCAGCGCAGCGCATTTTCACTCGAGCATGTGGATATTATTGTTTTTCTCAACATGAACGTGAAGCAATATAAACACGATAACCATATGCTGACGAGTGTACGTTCTTTACGATAACTGCGCAGTCTGCTTTATTAGAAGTTTATTTACGTAATAGACTTTTTTTAACTTATTTTTATAATGTATTAAATATGACTGTTGTTAAACAGAGAGCATAAACTAATGAAGACGAAGAATGTGAGCGCTGTGTGTTCAGGCACTACCGTTCTCAGGGCCGCTCGTCAAAATAAAAGTCCCGCTCCTAACACCGGCCAATTAGAAAAACGTATCGGCCGAGTTTTTTTTAAAAATGCCAAAAATAGGCCTTGGCGAGACATCGTTCGACCACTACTATTCAGTTCTATTTACCATTTGATTATTCAGTTTCTGTACCTGAAAACTACACTTAGAACTATACCTGAAGATCCTGAATAGCAATTAATCTAAAATTTTGTTTTATTTCACTGGTATCTAACATTTTGGTGTCATAACCTTATTTATTACAATACAAGGTTACATGGGTCAAAAACTAACTATTTTATTACTTTTTTTGTGGTGGGGCCAGTGAAAATATTTCATTGAATCAAATAGAGAGATCTTGCGAATCGGAATGGAGACATCTGTATCAAAGGACACATTGTTAAATTTAAGTTTCACTGAAACTATCTCCTCTGCGGCTGTCAGTCATACTTGATCGGTTTATAAAGATCTTTATATTGTGGATTTGCATAAAATGACTCTTGATGGGGTTTATTGCCGTTTCGAAGGCTACGTTCAGACTGCAGTTACATATTGCGACCTCAATTTGAACAGTCATATCAACTTTTACATCACTCCAGAGCAACGTTTGTCACAATTCTGCGCTGATGGGAGTCACTTCAAAGATTGTACATACCCGCAGTTATCAAGACTGTTGCGAAAGGTAGTCAGTGAAGGACAGTGATGTGTCAGAGCTCAAGTATTAAAGCGACACCTCATACAAGATACGAGGGGCTCGTATCATAAATATTTCAAAACTCTTTTCGCATTCTCGTCTCTGGTTTTAATATTGCATGTGCATTAATTCACTATATTGCATCGGCAGATCACACAATACTTTAATGTCCTACGTGTTTTCCTCCGTATGGCAGCCGGATATGGGCCACATTTAAAACAACAATGTGAACAGCTATACAAAACAAATCGTATCTGAGCAATGAATCGGAATTGAGCACTAAGGATCGCAGTGTGAACAGCCTAAATGATGTGGTAATCACGTCTATATACCTTGTTTGTTTGTTTTATCGATGTAAACCAACAATTGTAAAGAGTCTTTGAGTGTCTAGAAAAGTGCTATAAAAATGTATTATTATTATCATCACTACCGGGTGTGTTAGGTCACAACACTGGTGTGAGAGGACATGAATTGACATTATGCACACATAAGCAGTTTGTTCTGCTGTGTATTAGGGGTGTAACGATACACAAACCTGACGGTTCGGTTCGTCCCACGGTTTTGAGGTCTCGGTTCGGTTCGGTTCATTTCGGTGGGGTGGGGGGGTTTAGAAAGCTAAAATTGCTTTTATTTTTTATTGAACAGTGCTTTAATGAACAAATTGTGTCCTTGTCTTTAAATGAATTAAATTACAAGTAAACGTTTCTCAAGGATAACAAAATGATCTGCTAATGCTGTAAACTACAGCCCTTACTTGCACATTACTATAACATTAAAGCTTAACAAGCCTAGACTTTTAGCCTAAATGATATAATAATAATCAACACTCAAATAACAAATTGTATGAAAACATGTAAACTGCACATAAGGCAATTTTTGCATTAACATGTTTTTACTCTAATTTGTTATTGTTGTATAATAATTTACACAGTTGCTGTTATTTTCATTACAACTATTTTAAACATACATTAAATAATCAAGATATCATAAACAGGTTAAGTAAAATATAATATATAGGCTAATATATAGCATTTATTTAGTGAAAGAGTTAGCAAACCAGCAAGCTGTGGACACTGAATGACTTGCCTGAGGTAAATATAAAGCTATGTGAAAAACTAAGCGTTTTATTGACGTATTTCCGCTGTTGAAACACTGATTGAGTGTTTACACGAGTTATGATGCCTTTCAGTAAGTATACTGTATCTTTCAACATACCTTCGGGTGTCCATTCATGTTTATTCTGTAACTGAGGAAGAGATGATCGCGCTCCGCGCTGCCGCATGCATACAGTGAAATCTGTCACGCCACATCTAAGAGCGCCAAAACGGCATTTATTGTTTACATTTCGTGATCAAATAGACATAATTTGAAAGATTACACCTTGCTTATTATCAAAAGTAACAAAACACTGAGCTTATTGCGATTATATGTGGTTAATGGTGGTTAGGCAACAGCCCTGTATTCGTTGTGTACACATAACACATGAGGTGCAATGAGCCGGGGCTGGGCGGGGCTGCAGGGGGCGGGGCGTGTTCGGTTCGCCATGAGAGTATCGCGATACGTATCGTGGGTGGTGTATCGCGGTTTTTCGGTTCGGTTCAAATATCGTTACACCCCTACTGTGTATTGGAGTTAATATTATTATAGTTTTGCGCAGTAAAAGATTATTAAAAGCCTATCTTGTTCTGTTGCATCTATCATATATAGTTGCCCCATTAAAAAGTATATAAATTATAATATAAATATACGTCTACAATTAACTTTTTTTCATGAATAAAAAAAAACAAAAAAAAAACACTTACCACTGTTAGTTTTAGCAAACGTGGGAACGTTAAAACTGGCAAAAGATGGAGCCACTGATGCCACGCTGCCATTGGTCAGGCTGGACATAGGTTTGAAACCAGCGCCATTACCAAAGCCAGAGAATGACGCTGGTCCTGCGGCCGATGTCAGAGAGAACCCCTTAAAAGCTTTGAAAGCCCCTCCACTCTCTCCCTGTTACACAAAAACAAAACTCATCTATAAATCAGCCTCAAAACACATGCCCGGATGCCTGCTGGGACACAGGAGGAGTGTTACCTCTGCTCCGGCGTTACGACGCTTGGCTTTCTTGATGGAGCGATTCTTCATCACATCTTCGGTTGCAACTGAAAACATTCCTGCCTGAAAGACACAAGATGATATTTTCAAACGTTCAATTATTCTTGGCTGAAGCACTTAACCGCTTAAACAGGTTTTTTTGGCATGCTTGACTCTGAAGTAAACATATCTCATAAGGATGTACAAGTAAAATTAAAACTGAGCAGGTTTGGGATTGGCAGAAATGGAGACAGAGTGGATATACGGTAGGCTAGTGGTTAAGTGTCTTTTTAGATACTATGGATAACTGCATTTCCACTGGGAGTGTAAAGACGTTTCACAGTGAAAGTGTGCAGATACTGAAAGATGGCACACCTCCTCTCCTTCATCTTCCTGGTCCCAGTTCCTGTCCGTCAACTCTTTCTCTGCAATCCTCTTGGCCATCACAGCTCAGCTGTCAATTAAAATACATGGCAGACGTTTAGTCAGGAAATACGAGAGACAAATCAAACGTAACAGAGTTGGGATTTTAGGAATTTCCTTTAGAACTGGAACTAAATGGAGAAATGCCAGATTAGATTACAAAGTAAAGGACGTTTGTGACGTACACTAGCAGGAGTTCTTGGATCAAAATTAAAATATCAACTGATCCTGGCAGACAAAAATCCTCTGATCTTAAGCACACAACAGGTCTAGGGTTAGTTTAGGTCTACGGTGTGGATCAGTTGAGGTCAAGGTTCGGTTGAGGTCTCGGGTTCATGACCCAGGAAGGAGTCCTACTTAGTTAAATTGTATCGGTCAACCAACCCATCACATTTGACTCACTAAAGAGACAACATTCAAAACCACATTGTAATATCTATTCTACACAAATGAAATAATGCTGAAATTCCCTCAGATGTTAACAACATGAGTCATTAATTACGCCTTTGGGGCGCATTTCATTTAAATGACGTGACAGATTGGGCAACTACCGGCAGATGCATATTAAATAGCTCAAACATGATTTTAATCGATTAATTTCGGAATCAAATCGCATTATACTACATTAGCAACTAGCTTATCTGTTTATATGATGCGTTTGTGTGAATACGATGGTTAAAGTTGCTAATGACGGGCCGGCTCTTAAATAAAGATAAATACGACGTATCACGGATCTGTGTGAAACAAACCACTATTTAATATAGTTCTATACATACCTCACACAATTTCCCGCCAACCGTTCGCGCCACACACACAGTTTCGACTGCTTGTGCTTGAATGATGACCGCGGGAATCTCAATCTCGCGCATACAGAAGCAGGCCGTGCGCTCACACCGCCATCTTACAAACGCATCTCACAGTCCGCATGTGCCAGAAGTATTCTGCGCATGTGCAAAGAGAAGCGGCGCCCGCGCCTCACTCTGCGCATGTGCGAAGAGCAATAATTGCCGCAGGAGTCTGTGGGAAATGAAGTCTCTCAATGAATGCGGCATGTCTGGAGCTATGGTTTGGAGTGCTGAAGAGAACGCAACGAATGTTTCAAATTCAAGTTTTTTTTTTCAACTGCTTAAACACATTTTCAAATCTTTGCCTCTTTTTTTCAAAACTTTACTCACAAAACCAAGAATTGCACACACAAAATGCAAAATGAAGCACTGCATTCAAAATATCACAAACACATCTCAAAAGCAAACATTTGTCTTACTGTACGTTGCAAACACCTTTGCCATAATATTATTTTGGATATATCATATAGGCTAAACACACAGTTACTCAAAACCTAAAGCTCTTCTTTCATGAGCTTGCTTCAATCATGAGCAAGATGTAATTTGCAGAGTGATGTTGAAAAATTCATGGCAACACACGAAAACAAGATTGAAACCAAACTATTTTTTTTTTACTGTAAGCATTTTGGTTGTGAATACAGTATTACACAGTCCGAAAAACCTATAACTGGACCTTTGGCCTATATTTATAGGCCTATTCTAAAGCCACGATTGGTTGGTGTTCAGTAAAGCATGCAGTGAGTGTTTGCACATGTGAGGAGTTATGTGAGGCACTGAGTAATTATTGTGGCATTTTGATAGGTTGTGTTTGAAAAAGGAAATCAAAATACGTCCTGATTTGGTGTGTGGTTCTGGTGTTTGAGTGTCAGGTTTCAGAAATTGTGTGACAACAAGTAAGGATTTTGTGTGTAAGCAGTTGAAAAAACTGTAATGTAGCATAAATAACATTATTTTGTTTCAACGTGTTATATTTAAGTAAAACATTATGTAAATAGTCACAGTTAAAAGGTGCTGTAAGCGACGGCATAAAATATTCACAGTAGCACAACCTTATTGTTATAAAACCCAATTTATTTGTAGTGCTACAGCATGGGTCAACCTGTGTGTGTGTGTGTGTGTGTGAGGGTGTGTTTCTGGATATTATTCAGCCTTGTTTCCTTCTGTAGGCAGATTACAGGCACTTCTGGTCGCGGTGGCATGGAGAAACAGATGGCTGTGTTCCAATCTCTCAGGATCCCACACTTCTGTGCCAACTCAGAAGCAGGTGTTTCAGAAAGCAGGATATCGGCTATGCCAGAGGTCCTGGTGGCCACAGGAGAGCCCTGACCAGATGGATGGGATAAAGCCGAGGTGACTGTAGCCATCATACGAGACTGACTGTGCCATGTTTACAATCATTTCAAATTACTAAAAGTGAAAAATCCATTAAACAATGTACAAGGCCTTTCAGGCGTTTGTCAAATTTAGCCTACATTTATACATTTGGCAGACACTTTTATCAGAGTAAATTACCTTGCATTCAGGGTAAACATTTTCAGTTCATGCATTTCCTTGGAATTGAGCCCGTGACCTTGGCATTGCTAGCGCCATGCTTTGAGCTACAAGAATGTTTATAGTGTTAACAAACCCTTTGACTCAAGGTTCACTTTATAATGTGAAGCACTGACGAAACCTTTGAATGTTTTGACAGTGCCTGTCAGATGCTTTCATCCAAACATACAATTTTAAGCCTTTTTTAAGGTTTACGCAATTTAATTAATAGTAAAATTCCATCAAATTGAATTGAATAATCCTTTTTTATTTTTATTTTTTTATTGTACAAGCAATACAATACAATACCGTATTTCAATTTAGTACTAGAGTAAGTTAGCAGTGTTGGGGGTAACTCATTACAAGTAACTTGAGTTACGTAATCCGATTACTTGTTCAAGTAACTAAAGTAACGCATTACTTTTATTTTAAAATAAACAACAAAATATCTGAGTAACTTTTTCAAATAAGTAACGCAAGATTCTTTGTTTTCCCATTTATTGACTGGCAGCTCTCTTGTCCCCATATTGAGACAAATCGAAGTGCAGAGGCGTTGTGTGTAAACATGATGGTTATTGTAGACTAAATGTGAGCGTGCATTTACTTATCTCACTTGAATTCAATATTCAATTCAATATTCAATATTCCTCAAAATGAATAAAATCAGTGAAATTCAGAATCAGACTATGCAAACCTCCAATAACTAAATATGTTAAATAAAACATAATTTTGTATGCATTTAATCTCACTTTATTGACCATACTTACTTCATGACCTGCGATGATTCAGTTAAACCATAAGCAAAAATGACTAGATCTTTATTTTATTTTATTGGTAAAGTAAGTGTTAAACTTTTTTCTCCTGCATCCTATTTTTGTATTCTTGTCACAATTCTGCAAGAGATAGGACCCAGATGCAAATGAGCAGACAAGGGGTTTTTATTAACAAGACTGAAAACTTGAGACAGCAGGGACAGTGAAGTGTGAACCACAGTGCAAACAGTAGGGCAGGGCAGACGACACAACGACAGACAGGAAAGATTACCACTGAGACTGTCAGTAAGATGGCGATGACGTGAGTGCAATAGAAGTAGCTCCAAAGGAAAGACCAGGCAGGAACACAAGGAACTTGTAGCTTGATGTAGATCCTAGATGTTGCACCAGTCTTGCCGCCAGGTAGAGGCTCACGTTCTGTGAGAACGTTCAGAGACTTGTAACAGGAGTTAGATAGCTGCACCAGTCAGCCTGCCAGGCAGTTAAGAGTCACTGGCCAGGGAACTCAGGATACAGGGCAGGGACACACTGAAGAACATACAAGACTTAAGACAAGACAGACAAAGATATAGCAACAATAAAGAAACAAAAATAAACTGATAAGATCAATTACTAGAGAAACAAAAAGTAGAGAAATAAATAGAACTAAAGCAAATTAATGAAAAAAGTAAAACAAAAAAAACAAAAAAACTAAGATACCAGAAATAAAAAAACTGGATTTGAAATCTAAGACTTCCACTTGACAGGAAAAATAAGAACTGAAGAAAGTAACTAAAAATAAAATTCTAAAACATAAGAGAACTCAAACTAGATTATAAAGCACAAGAGCAAAAGCTAAGCAAAACAAAACCGGAAACACTGCAAAGTACATACACAACGAACCAGCAAAGACATGAGGGAAAGAGGCACAGTATAAAGGGACCAGAGCACATGAGCACAATTTCTGAAACGAGGACTAGACGTGGACTAAACAAGGGGGCGTGGTAACAGGAAACAAGGAGGCAGGACAATAGGGGCACATGGCAAACACAAACAAAGACAGAGCCATGTGCTCAAACACAAGACAAACATAGAAACATGAAACAACAAAACTTGGAGTTCCGGGGCATCCAGGAAACACAGGGAAGATAATCCAGGGGAATAGTTTGAGGCTGACCAGGTAGGTGCCGGCTTTGAAAACACATAATGACCAGGCAAAACAGAGGGTGGGATAGGAGGGGTAGGGACAGTCTTTCTTGGAAGATGAGCTTGCTCAAATGGTCGGGGCTTGAAAATAGCCTTAGTGTCAGGAACGGTCTTCGGGATGAATCTTTGATTGTGGAAGGACTTAGGAATGAACATGGGGGCCATAGCCATACTGGCAGGAAGGGTCAAGGGAATGTGTTCGGGAGAGACATGGACAGTCTTAGGCACTGACTCTGAACCGTACTCCATGGCTACAGAGATATAGACTTGACTTGACCCTGGGATGTTCCTCCAGGGTTTCAGGGACAGACTCTGGACTTGACTCGGGAGTGCCCTCCTGGGCTGCACTGGTGGACTCTGGGACAGCTTCCTCCGCAGCGGGCTCTGGGACAGCTGGAGTCTGGACCATTTGAATCAGGTCCTCCTTGACCACTAAGATAGGTGCCTCTTGGCTCCGACCCTCCTGGGCCAATGGTTTAGGAACCTCATAACTTAGGTCCTCCTGGACCAATGACTTGGGAATCTCTGAACCTGGGCCCTCCTGGGCCAATGGGCTAGGGGCCTCTAAAAAAAGGGTATTTGACTTGCCAACATGGGGCCTCCTTTTCCTCTGCTTCTGAGGGCATGACAATTTGTGCTAGACTGGCTCAGGACTGGCAGGAGTGGGCTCGACTGGCTCTGGACTGGCAGGAGCAGGCTCGACTGGCTCAGGACTGGCAGGAGCGGGCTCGACTGACTCAGGACTGGCAGGAGCGGGCTCAACTGGCTCTGGACTGGCTCTGGACTGGCAGGAGCGGGCTCGACTGAATCAGGACTGGCAGGAGCGAGCTCGACTGACTCTGGACTGGCAGGAGCGGGCTCGACTGGCTCTGGACTGGCAGGACTGACTCAGGGCTCGACTGACTCAGGACTCGCAGGAGCGGGCTCGACTGACTCGGGACTGGCAGGAGCGGGCTCGACTGGTTCTGGACTTACAGGAGCGGGGTCGACTGGCTCAGGACTGGCAGGAGCAGGCTCGACTGAATCAGGACTGGCAGGAGTGGGCTCGACTGGCTCTGGACTGGCAGGAGTGGGCTCAACTGGCTCTGGACTGGCAGGAGCGGGCTCGACTGGCTCTGGACTGGCAGGAGCGGGCTCGACTGACTCGGGACTGGCAGGAGTGGGCTCGACTGGCTCTGGACTGACAGGAGCGGGCTCGACTGGCTCAGGACTGGCAGGAGTGGGCTCGACTGAATCAGGACTGGCAGGAGTGGGCTCGACTGGCTCTGGACTGGCAGGAGCGGGCTCAACTGGCTCTGGACTGCATGGCAGGAGCGGGCTCGACTGGCTCTGGACTGGCAGCAGCGGGCTCGACTGGCTCAGGAATGGCAGGAGCGGGCTCGACTGGCTCGGATACTGATGCAGCCATCTTGTTCGCTCTCTTCCTTTGTTTCCTTGGAGTCAGAAGAGGATCTGGAACTTGACTTGAAGGTGGGAGAGCAGGTTGGTCACTGCAAACAGACTCTGGAGGTACTGGAGCAGACTTGACAGACTCTGGGATGACTGCAGTGGTCTTGATTGACTCAGGATAAACTGCAGGAACGGTCTCAGC